TTTGCTGCCTTTTTACATTTATGCCTGGCTATAATTTCACTATATAAAATAGGTCAAGATAGAGTGAGTGTTTGATCACTTAGGCAAGGGTTACCAAAAGGTACTTGACTCCACAATGAAATAGAGTTTAAAGGAAGAAGGCTTGGATACTTTTATACTTCATCACACAGGAGTGAACTGGCTATGGTACCTGTGCACAAAAGAATATCATGATTTACTGTAGACATCTATGTAAATTTGGTATGTGCAAAGATACCCTTGCAAATTCTAAATACCCTTAGATACTAGGAAAGTGTTCTACTTTGAAATTATTAAATCAGCTGGTATCCAGAGATTGCCTAGACAATTCAGTCCCACTTTTTTCCTGTCACCATACACAACTGGCACATTAAATATCATTGCCCCCTTAACCCTACTTTTGTTAGTTATTTCAAGGAACTACAAATTTCCAAATCACCTCTAACTCTCCAATGTCCATTCCTCCATGGAAAGAGAACTGCTTTTCTGATGAACCATCTTGCCATCTTGTCTCCGATGGCATGCTCAATCAATAGCTAAGTAGTTTCTGCTTCCTTACATTCTTGCTCTAACGGTCATTTGGCACTCCCCTGAATTCCCACTTTCCATGAAATGCTCTCAAGTGATGGCTGTCCCTAACATCAATAAAAAATGAAGAGAAGCTTTTGAATGTTTTGCTCTTAACTGTGACCCAGGACCACTTCATCTCCTTCAAATATTCACAGGTTTGAATATTCATTATTGATTCATATCTCCTTCTGCCTGTCAGTGTTATAGTCATCTACTTCCTGGAGACGCTCACTCCACTTCTCTAGATGCTTTTTAACTCATGGCTTAGTGTAAATCTGACCAACCACTCTACTAAAATAGCTCTTGTAAGCTACAATACACAGAGGCACTTGTTCCAATAGCCTTGCTTCTGAATTATCCAAGCTGCTTTGATTCTTAATGTCCTCTCAGGGTATAGATATAATGGACCTAGTCTAATTTATTATTTATAGATTCTATTTGTTTTTTTAGATACATCCTATTTTTCTTTAATTATTTGTATGTGTATGCACGCATGCGAGTGGGTGTGTTCGTGTGTATATGTGTGTACGTGTGTGTGTGTGTGTGTGTGTGGTATGTGTGCATGAGTGACCTGTGCTTTCAGGTATCTGTGGAGGCCAAGGATTGCTATGGAGATGGAGTTCCCATATTTTCTGCATTCTTGGAACAGAAGATGATATATTCCTTTTTTAGGGTCAATTTCTGTGGCTAATAACACTCCCCTAATTATCTACTAGAGGAAACAGCACAGGGTGGTATATACAAATGTGTTCAAGGAATGTCTTCCTTTGTTTGAAAATGGTCACATATAGTCCAGGCTAGCCTTGAACTTATAAGTAGCTGAGACTGTCCCTGAACTCCTTTATTCCCTGACTCAACCTGAAGTGCTGGGATTACATATATATGCCCCTGAGTCTAGGCAAAGTGTGATTTTAAATGAAAAGTATACCATCAGGTTTCAGAACTAAATGAATCAACAAGAAAAAATGAATCAACTAGGTAGAATACTGATGTTAATATCACTGATGTTAAATTTGTTCTTTATTTATATATACATCCACTCAATCATTTATTGAGACTTTGTTAAGCAATTTCTGTACACCAGACCTCTCACTGTGAGCCTCATTCAGTTGTGTGCATGAAACATTGATGGAAATGTAGCCAAAGTACCTGCTTTCCTAAGTTGATATTAAAAAACACATACATACACACACAAAGTAAGATATAAAGTATTATGTAAGTAAATAATACTATGAGGAAAACATAAGGAAGGTGATATTAAGATATGTTAAAAAGTGAGGGCTAGTTTTACAAAAGTTATGATCACAAAAAGCCTTCCTATAGGGAAATGAAATCAATTAAATATAAATATCTCACTTATATTTTATTCAATGAGTATTATTAACCAATTCCTATGCCAAGAGATACAAAAAAAAGTTCAGAATAATTCAAGGTTTTGAACTCTTTGTTGGTTTCATTTTAACTTCTTATCTTGGCTATGCTAAACCTCAAGTTCCAACATCTCAAAATAAAAATGATCCTTCCTGTCATTAACTGGGTCCAGGTGGTGTCTTCTCTTCCTAATTTAAAGTCATTGACTCCCCACAGGCAACTAGTGTGGTAGGAGTTACTTTCTCTGTTTTACAAATGAGAGGGCAGCCTTAGAAATGTGACTAGCTACAGTTATGAAATGAGCAAGCTGCAAAGGCAGGACTCAATAAAGAAATATGACTCAGTGGCCAAACTTGCCTTACCACGCACACAGCTGCCTCCCTCAGTATGAGAACTGAGAACCGCCAGAATGAGCCTAAAAAGTCTTACACTGAATGATCAGGTGGTAGGGCTGTACATTGGAAATCTATTCTGCTAACATAAGCAGAGCATGACCTTGTTAATAAAGAAAACACTAAGAAATTTATTTTTAAGTGCTTATGGAACAGCAGCCCACAAATCATTTTCTACCTTGTGTTTACAGAAATTGAAAGGTAGCTAAATGGACACAGTGGGGAACTAGTGTTAGGCCTTATACCATACAGGAAAATACCAAAATAAACTGTTTTTGAATATCCCTATTGCATTTATATAGTGCAATGGGTTTGTTTCACTATAAACTGTATTTTACTTTTTATGACTAACATACTGAGAGGATGTGCTCACTAAGTAATAGGGAAGAGTTTGTTACAGTAATATCATTTCTTTGAACTATAGGTTGACATAAAAGTCAAAGATCAATACAGAATCTATCACTTAAAGTTACTTATAGTGGCTTATCAACTTCACAACTTTCCTTAGCATGCTTATGTCTGTATGCACGCAAGGATGTGTTATTGCATGTGTATGTGGCTATAAAATGGTGTTTTCTTCTAGAACAGCTTTAAGTGTGGTTACAAACTACAGGGATTTGATTTTAAACCCATAATCTATAGGAATATATGTTCATATTAAATTTGACTTTAAAATCAAGAAATATTTCTTCCTAGTGTGGATTATAAGTCTTCACTAATGAATAATAAAATAGTTTGAATTCATAGATAGTATCATAATAGGTATGCATAATACACACATACATACATACTACATACATACACACACACACACACACACACACACACACACACACTGTTAAATGTATTATCTCATTTGGTCTGGTTAGTGAAATTGTCAGAAATTGCTCTTTGGTTGAGATTTTCAGGAGAAACTAGCCTTACCTAGCAGGTCATATACACTTGGAACTGTACCTCAGTGAGTGTTTTTGGAGACATCTATCTATCTATCTATCTATCTATCTATCTATCTATCATCTATTTATATTTATTTCTATCTGTCCATCTGTCTGTCTTTCTAAGTAATTCACATATAGCTTCATGTGAATAAAAAGTTTCTGGTCACAATCAACCTTAATAACAATTAATGTATACTTTACAGTTTTAGGTTTATTTCTAGGTGTTCTCATGATGGATGTTAAAGTAGGACTTTTCCTTACCATTCGTTCTAATCTGATGGTTTTGGTTGTAGGAAGGTACTGAACTCTTAGCTAACATCTTCAGGAAAGGGTCAAGACAACTTTGACATTCAGGGCTACCAAAGAAAAGAGTTGGAACACAAATGCTTTGCAATGTTCCTGCCTCTCACCATCTATATAATTACTACTTTGAAGTCACAGAAAGGGATAATGACATTCGTGCACATACCTAGGAGAAAGTCGAGGAATACAGTACACTCAAAGCTGTTTGTTCATACTCAGTTCCTTGATTTCAGACAGGGAATATTCCCATTCTCAGTAAATTCTTTGCCTGGCAACTTGATAATCTGAAGATAACCAATTGAACTCTATTCAGCCATCGCTCAGCAACCAGTGGTCTGAATGAGTTTAACTTGTTTTTCTTCATGCCAATGTAGACACAGCTTAAATATCCTTGGAGTGAATACTTTTTTTAGGAGTTTAATTTCTAATCAACCTCTGTATTTGGGGTGCAGAAGATTTAAAACTATAGAGTTACCTCATCCTTTTCTGAAACCAATCAACATCAGATTCCATACATTCATCTCATTTTAGCTGAAGTTTTATTTATTCCTTCAGCAGTCAAAAATCCAACTGTTTGTACAACAGAAACAAAGCATAAGCCTTACATATATTAAACGGGACAGACTAATACCAGTCCCCAAATACTGAAGTGAATAATATTCCACTGTTACATTTCTTCCTTTGATAAGACATGGAAGGAGGTAAAAGGAATCAATCATGAAAAATTGTTACTAACTCAAGTATTTAATTAAGTATGACCCAGGCATACTACAAATCATCTAGCTTCTAACTTGAGAGTAAAAGCAAATAGAACACAGAGTAGAAACTGCTAGATCAAAAAGGCTCCAGGCTCATTCTCACACAAGTCCCAATGATAGAAAATAAACAAGAAACCAAATTTAGTACTGGAGGTTATTTCTAAAGTAACCCTGTACGGTATTCTCAAGGACCTCAATAAACATTCATTGACTTTGTGTGACTTTCTATACTACCAAATTCAGTGCAACTCAGGTAAGTCCCTCACTACTGACCCCTATGAATTTTTCACATTCAGGTTTAAGGTCACAAAGGGCCACTGCAGAAAAGGACTGACGGGTTTGTTTTGTGACGTGAAATAATTTGGGCTAGCATACAGAAGCAGGTGTGGAGCATGACTCACTCATATTTTCTTACCTGCAAAGTGGTAGTCAGCATGTTTCAAGAGTTCTCAAAGCACCAGAGGATACCACCAACCGCCTCCCCCCACCTCAAAAAATAAACAATCCCCCTTTTTGCTATAGTTGTAGAGAACGAACCTATCTCAAAATCTGACGAAGCAACCTATGAAAGCTAGAGGGTTGGACTTTTTTCAGACCTCCGTGAGGTGATATCCTATTGCTTACAGCGGAGAGGCAGGTCAGTCAGGTTCTTGGCTGCTCTATTACACAAGCAAGATACTGCCTGCCAGGCAGCCAGCCAGTGAGCCAGCTAGCCCCACCTAATTTTGTTTCTCTAGCATCTGCCTATGTCCTGCTCAAAGCCACACTGTCACACTTAACCCACCTGCTCTTTCATGTGCTGAGGACTCATTCCAGCTAGGCCAACTTGATATTTGGTTCCCTGTCTATAAACACCTGTTACTTCTGAAAGGTAAGTGTGTGCTTCTTGGGATTCATTTTCTCCCTCCCTCTCTCTTTCTCTCAGTTTCTGTCTCTCTCTCCCTCACCTTTATCAAAAGGAATCACAGTGGCCTCAATCTTTGACAGAACAGTAAAACAAGTAGCCACAGAGACTGGTATAAACAGGCCGTTGTTTCCTTCATGAATTATCTTCTTAGTGGACATTCACACTATTAAATGAGCTCACTTTAGGAAGTACTGCCAATGTGGTTAACCAACTAAACTAGCAAAAGTGTTCAGTGAAAATATTACTTTAAATGTGCGTCTCAACCACAGGGTTTGGTCAAGTCTTAGCAAATTACCAAAATGTTTAAAGTAGAGTTGGTGGCAGGAACACATACTGAGTAGCTTTAAAATATGCATTCAGGCTTAAAGTTTTATTTTTAAGTATAATACATTTTTATGGGTTTTTGGAAAAATTATCTTTACACTAGACAAATTAAAAGCTTCTACACATCCTTTTCAATGGTGTTCTTAACTAAAAAAGTTGAAAACTTTTGTTAATTTTGTTATCTACATGCTAAGTAGACATGTCTGGCATTCTCAGAAATTTCAGAAGGCTAAGTCACTCATACAAGACCTCCTATGGAATGGGAATTTAGATAGGGTTTGTAAATGTCATTTCAGCTTGAGGGATTTTGAACCCTTCTTAAAAGGGATGGTTTCTTGTTGACCCACTTTCTCTTTGATTCATAGAGGCTGTTTCTAAAGACGTGAAATGTGATAGAAGTCTAACCTTCAGAATTTGGATCCAGAATATCTCTTTTGGAGACACTTTCTTTCTAAGCTTTGTAGTCATCCATCTATTTTTTAACAGTTGTGAAATTCATGACTGGACTCCCAAGTTAGTAGGCAAGATGTCATTCTCTTATTTTATTTTTTTATAGATTCATGTATATCTGAGCCTTTTAATGGAGTGATAGCAAAACCTTGGGGAATTTTTCTCAAGGAAAAAATCATTCATTCATACTTTTTTTCTCAAATAAAAGTGAAACAATAATTATAAAGGAAGTTCTCAGGTATAAGTAAAATTTCTGACTTCTCATGCTTCCAATCCTTTATATAATGAGTTTTAGAACATAAATTGCCTATGTTCTTATTAATGTGGCTCTAGAGAACATACTTAATACTAGCCCAAATTGCTAAAGCTACTTAGAATAACACACAAGGACTCAAATTCTTCCTGGGATATTAGCTACATGGCTGACTGAACTTTCATGACAAAACCGAACAAATAAACAAACCCAGATGAATCTTCGACAAGAAACAACCAAAGCAATTGGGCAAAATGGGGCCTGTACCTCTCAGGTATTCACCACAGAGACAGAACATTATATGGGATCTTCCAAATACCTGAACTGATGGCATTATATAAAACTCCTCTCCTGGTTGAATTGAGAATTAATACCATACATTCTCTTGTATGGATTTATAACCAGACAGAGCCAGTGCACCTCCTTATTATGAAAGTATAAATAGTATAATTCAGTTACAAAGGGGAAATTTGGCAGAATAATGATATTATACAATTATGAGCAATCAAAATTAAGCAGAGCAAGAGGGTTCACCTCCATGGATGCTGTCTCCCTCACAGGGGTTTCCAGCCTCTCCACAGAGATGTAGCAATAGGAAGGCACCTTTCAGTGCTAACACTAAAGAAAAGGAATAGGCAGTGTTCAATCTCTCTGTAGAAGAAATATTTAAAAATTGAAATGGACTCTTTTGCAATGAAACTACAAGTATTGTTAAATAAAAAGAACAGTAAAGATTCAATTTCAAGACATTGAGAAACTGTGTTAAGGAATTTTGACTGGCTCAGAATCCTCTTTTCTTTCTGGTCCACATATGACAATTCTGTCCTTAGTTTTTAAAGTTTATGATGATTACACATCTGTTTCTGTTATACTTCCTAAATATCTTTGGATGTTATGCCTCTAGTATTACTCTCACCTGGTGCAAGAAGAGGCAATAAACACAGGAGGAGGAGGGATATGCTACCTAGTTAACTTGATTTTGTTTTCTTTCTCTGAACACTTCATCTTTGAATTTATCCCTTTCTTCCCACTCCACAGGACATCTGGCTGGTAGCCGAACTCAGGCAAACTCAAGCATGATGTTAATAACCCAGCACAATTAATTTCAGCTTAATATGTTACACAAATATACTATATTGTTTAAATGTTTGTAACCTATAAATGGGGAGGGATTCAAAGACAAAAATGAAAGGGGAAAAATAAAAATTTTACCCACTGTCCTCTGTAGGTTTTATATTGTCCTCACAGTATACATTGTTTAATTCAGCCAGGTCCAACTTAACCTGACTCACAACATCCTTGCTTCTGCAAATGCTCACAGCAAAAGTTCTGAATACTGGATGGCTTAGATTTGAGTTTCCTTCTATTCTTTTTAGATGAGCAGTATCTAAGGCATGCTAGTTAAATGGTTACTCTTGAAGCCTGAGAAGAGAAGCAAATTTATCTCCTGACACAAATGTCAGACTTACAGGCCTAAATCAGTCTTTGCAATGCCATGGCCACAGCTGTATTCATGTCTCAATTATCTTTATCTTGTGTTCAGACATAATATCTGTCCCTCTCTTCCTTCATTTTAAACTTTTTCCCAGAAGATAAGTTATAGGTAGTAACAGTGCTTTGGCTTATTTGGGGTGTTGATACTCAAGGTTTTCAGGTTACACTCAAAAGTGAGGTGAAGGAATGAGAGATGCCCTGGGTGGTTCAATGTTACAGGCAAGGTGAAACTGGTGCAATAAAGCTCACTTTGTTGGCTGGTGATACAAGGATTCCCATTACAGGAAGGGAGTAAAAGCTCCAGGCTAGGTTGCTCATGCAAAACTGAAAGAAAGTTAGAACAGCTAAGGGCCTTTACCCTACCTTTGGCAATCATGTTTTTTTTTTTTTTTTAGAAGAAAATAAGGAAAATGCCTAAATAGAGAGAACATAAACTAATTGGCATAAAAACAATAAAAAGAGTGACCAAGTACAATGCCTAAAGTCTAGAGCACAGGCAGCAGATGAAAAGAAAGATAACTATATGTGTTGTGATCTGTAAAGATTTCACTGGAGAAAAACATCTATGAAATGTACATGTAGCTACACCAAGCTAAACTGCATTTAAAATGTACCTACAACACAAGGCATTCACTAAATGGAATATTGACCAGCTATAGGTCTAGGGAAAATGCACTTATGTCTTTTATTTACATGGATCATACAAGAAACCATACATAGAAGTTGTTGGGGTTTTTTTATGTTAAGTGTTGAGAAGCACTTAAGATAGATGAACCTGTGTTTGCAGTGTTTTTAGAATGCTTTAGACTCTTCAACTTAGAAGCTGTGTTTAAAACAATGGTAGGAAGGTCTACACTGATAGCATGAACTAAGTTGTATGTAATGGTCTACAGAGTATGGTTGGCCCTGCATATTCATGGGCTGTGTGTCCATGCATTTATCCAAAGGCAAATTGGAACAGTTCAGAAGAAAGGCTTGCACTGAACATAGGCAGATATTTTCATGTCATTGTTTCTTAAACTGGTTAGCATTTCCACTATCTATTATTCACATTTTGTCAGGTATTCTAAGTATTTTAGAAGCCTTTGAAGTATACAGGAGGAAAGGATTAGGTAATGTGTCAGTATCTGTGACATACTACATAAAAGGCTTTACCAGCTGCAGATTTTCATGCTGTTGGGAGACTCTGAATCCAGTTCCCTACAGTTATTGAGTGACATTAACATTAACTCAAGTATGCCAAGATTTATTCTAACCCTGAATTTGATTCACTAATGTGAGTGCTTGGACACTCCATTGACACTCTTTATTCCTCCACTTAATTATTTGTAGCTCTAACTCATTTACAGTTACAAATCTTGTTCTGTGATTGCTTTGTAAGAATTCAATGGAAAAAAAGTATAAAGTTTCTAACATAATAAGTGTATAACTAATTACATTTTTGATTGTGTTAATAATTTTAGGACTTAAACCACTTATATTAATTATCACCAAAAAAATGGAAATAAAATATAAGGAAATGGAATTACCACAAATGTAAATAGTTCTCTAATCTTGTCTGGAATCAGAGTAAGAGGAGTACACAAGAAACCTTTCAGTGAACAGTACCTTCTTCCCACATGTGTCCATCTGCAATCAGTTGTCTCTTTACAGAGAGTTGTGGCTGTTTTGAACTTTATATATGTAGGATTACACAATATGCCTGAACTTTTAGGCTTTGCATTATGTTGATGATAATCATCCATACTGTTGCATAAACCGGTAAGATGCTAATTTTCAGCATATGAATAGGTTAGGATTTGTTCTTCAATCTGTTACTGGTGTATTTCAGCCAGAAATCATAAGTAATGTGCCCATGAATATTCCTGAATACCTACCTGCTTTATATTTTAAGAAGACTTTTCTTAAGTGATTAGAACGGGAATGAAAGAAGTTATACCACAGTGAAATCTTTGAAATGCAAAACCTCAGTCTGATTTTTAAAAAGCTTTTGATGAAGACAGTATAACAGAATATAACGCAGATTTTTTTTTAACTTGCAACAGATTACTGAGTGGAAGGGGAGTGTAGTAAATACAACAAAGTTATGCTCAGAGGGGTACAGAGGCTCTCTAAAGTCCTTGAAGAACTTCAGGCCAGGCACTGGAGAGATGGCTCAGTGCTTAAAATCACAGACTGGTCTTCCAGTGAATCTGAGTTTGATTCTCAGAACACATATGGCAATTCACAATTGTCTGTAAGTCCAGTTCCACCATACCTGATGTCCTCTTTTGACATCCATGGGTGCCTGACATGCTTTTGCTACACATGCATTCAGGAAACCCTCATGCACATAAAATAAAAATAAATATTTTAAAAACTGGCAGGTAACACTGAACATAAAATTTAGCAATGGGACTTTATTTTCCTGAGTCAAGTTAGGAAAAGTAAAATCCAACTGCAGAGCATTGATTCAGTTCTCAGACTTTATTGTTTGAAGAGACTGCTTGACATGGAGTCTCATATAGTCTATGCTGGACTCGAACTATGTAGTTGAGAATTACCTTGTGCCTCTAATGCTTCTGTACTTCCTCCACATTCCTCCCTACTGCTGGTAATACAGGCATGTCCCAGCTTGCTGGATTTATGCAATGCTGGGGCAGAATGTCAACTTTTTGCATGCTAGGTAAGCACTCTAGCAACTAAGCAATGTTCTCGGCTCCAGGCTAACATTTTTTTAAATATGAAAATCCAGCCAAACTTACTTTATCATTTTGCATTTTGCTTGCCTCTTCTGTTTAATAATTTATATTACTAGCCACCCTGAGCTTCAGGTTCTTCTTCAATGTGAAAAACATAACACAAGCTATTCTTAAGATATCACTGTATCCAGTGCAATGTTACTGTAAATTTTGTAATCTCTGAGATATTGTAGCCATCATTGTTAACATTCTTAATGCTGAGAGTGTTTATTGCAATTTGTCATATTGTGGTTACTCCCACCCATGACATTACTTTTGTTGCCACTTCATAACTATAACTTTGCTACTGTTTAAAATGTAATGTACATGTCTGTGTTTTGGGGAGGGAATTGGGCCACCCTCAAGAAAGGGTCATTTGATCCCCAAAGAAGTCATGACCCAAAGGTTGAGAACTGCTGCATTATAGATATATTGTGATATTTGGTTGATACCAATAGAGGTTGGGATATTAAGTGCTTACTTTAGGCCCAATACTGTTCTGAATGCTTTTTCATATACTATTTATATAGTTTAAAAACAATACTGTAAAAGTGTAGTTATCTTGACAATAATATATTAATAACTTACAAATGACGATTCTATAGGTAATTATGGCACAAACCAGTATTTTAAAATATGTTTGCTCCAAGGGAAAACCCTTATCACCCTTAGGGAATTTGCATATTAAGCAGAATGGTGTGCTTGGGTTAGTGAGGTTACCATCACAGTTTTATTACCTAATAGTTTTTTACATCACATACCCTCAACAATATTCTTTATTGGTTATAGCTCCAGTAATTTAAAAGTAAACATGAATTAAAATGTACTAAGAGAGTGGAAAGATTTCCTTCCTAGATCTAAGAATGGGACATTTAGTGTCTGATCAGTGAAGTCATTTTCACAGTTAGAATTCAAAATAACATCTCTGTAAAGAGGCTGTTTTCTTAAATAGTTTGAAGAAAGCAGACAACTCTGTATATACTATATTTACAATATTTAAACAGTTACTTAGCAGCCTATGTATATGAACATATATAATGAGTATAATTTTTTTCTAGTTGTTTCAAGCTCAGTGATCTTTAAAATAGTATGTAACTTGACAAGGTTGTTCTCTGGCCTTTTGTTAGAAGGAGGGATTATATAGAAAATAGAATTTAAAATTAACTGATTTTGATGATCCCTCCTGGAAGGCATCACCCTCCCTGTGGAGTGGGGGTGGAGTGGGATGAGAGGGGAGTCAGGGAGCATGGAAAAGAGGGAGAGGGAACTGGGATCGATATGTAAAATAAGAAAAAAATAAATATATATAAAAAGAAAAAATAGAAAATAAAATTTAGTGTCACTGGCTTAAATCCATAAGCCATTCAAAACAAACTTTAGGATAAGAAATATATTATTATCTCAACATTATATCTCTCTAAGATCCATAGAAAACTCAGAATGTGCTTAATAATTCAAATGACTCTTACTTTCTTTCAGATTCCTCATACTAAAACCAATACCAAAGAAGGCTGACATGTTGACCTTAGCCCAGATTGCATTTATTTCAATTCTCTTCATTTCATTACCATTTTGGAGCTCTGAGAAACAAAATCCAGGAAGAAATGCAACTCTGTACACCATAGAAGATTTGAAAACAAGGGGAAACAAATCTATTCCTTTCAAAAGAATCACAAATGTAACTTCAGAGAATGAACGTAGTAACGGCTCCAAATCCATGCTGACAGATACCTCTCCTTTGGATCTACCCACAACCTATGAAATAATAAGTTCCACTAGTAGCTGGCCAACAGCTAGATCTACTGAGGGTCCAACACCTACCTCCACATATTCTACCCCTCCCTTGGCTCAAGGCTTTGTTTCCAAGTCACCTTTGAATTCATCTACAGCACATTTGAATCCTTTACATGTCTCAGGACCTTCCAATCCTATACATCCCACATCATCAGGAAACTTTACTTGGTCTCTAGACAATGATACCATGAACATTCCTGACAACATTTCTAGTACAGTCAGCATCCTCCCTCTGCCTCCAATGACCACACCTGTGACCCCTTTGACTATTGAACCTACTGGATGGCTTGCCACAAACAATGATGACTTTGCTGGTTTTACCCCATATCAAGAAAAAACAACTTTACAGCCTACCTTAAAATTCACCAATAATTCAAAACTTTTTTCTGACTCATCAGACACCCAAAAAGGTACATAAAGTAGATTTAATTTTTTTAGGTAAGGCTAAATTTCTAGAGAGCCATTGTAGGGAAATGCAGGCAATTATGGTGGTATGGGGAGGAAACATCAGAGGTTGTGAAGTGGTTCTGGGACTTAACTGAACTCATGGTAGTTATTAGCAAGTGGGAGCATGAAGAGAGAGTACAATGAAGGTGATGATGGTAAGTAAGAATGCTATCCGAGGCATTAGGTAACAATTTCCATTACTTCTTTGGGACAAATCTAACTACAGGTGCTTTCAGGCATATTCTATAAATGAGGTTTAAAATATATGCATGTGAGCTTTGAAACACTGAACAAAATGAATGCTTCTATAGATTATCAGACCACACACAGTGACTGCGGAACAATAACGGAGCAGTGACATTCAAAGAATTACTTAGACAAGCTTACCACAAGGAAAGCATCCTTATCTTTTAGTTTAACATCTAATGAGAATTATATAAACATAACTTTTTTGGACCACAGCATTATTACATAGACATCTATATGATTCCCTAGAGGCTGCATCAAATTTAAAACCAAAAATAGGAAAGATGTCAGAGGCTGTATAATGAATTCTTTATACTTAATGTCCTCAGGGTTAGCTGTATGCTTGGATGCCTGATATTTATTATTTATTATTATTATTTTTAATGAACTCAGTACCTTCTGATGGACTTTCTTAGAGGCTAAATTGATTATAATATATAAACACATAATTGGGGAGTTCCTTCCTTTCTTGCTCCCTGGCCATCTTGGCGGCTGCTCTTGGTGGGGGCTGTCCCGCACCTAAGGCAGGAAGATGGTGGCCACAAAGAAGACGATAAAGTCCCTCGAGTCCATCAACTCTAGGCTCCAGCTTGTTATGAAAAGTGGGAAGTACGTGCTGGGATACAAACAGACTCTCAAGATGATCAGACAGGGCAAAGCGAAGTTGGTTATCCTCGCCAACAACTGCCCGGCTTTGAGGAAATCTGAAATAGAATACTATGCCATGTTGGCTAAAACCAGTGCCACTACAGTGGCAATAACATTGAATTGGGCACAGCATGTGGAAAATACTACAGAGTATGCACACTGGCTATCATTGACCCAGGTGACTCTGATATTATTAGAAGCATGCCAGAACAGACTGGTGAGAAGTAGTAAACCAGAAAAGCCTTCCTTTAATAAAACCACCAGAGCTCTTTAAAAAAAAAACAAAAACAAACAAAAAAAAAAAACACATAATTGGATTGGCATTTCTAGGCTGTTGTCTGCATATGGGGAATTTTTTAACTTCTAATCTAGGCATTTAAAAATAACATGATAACAATATATATGTTTCATATTACAACTTTAACAATCTTATCATTCTTATATCCATTAGAGAGGATATTTAAAATGTTTCTGCTGTCTAAACTCAGTAAATATATATTGTAAATACTGAGCACTTACCCATACCATAGCTCTCTTATCAGAATTGTTAAGTTTGCTTCTATTTATAGTATTTATTTTATTAAAACGAGTTAATTTTCTTAGGAGTGGAATTGAGTATATAGCCTAAGAACAGCTTCATTTGGTATCTATAGCAAATCTTTATATATTGTCTCTTTGCATCTGTATTTTTGCTTATTGAATATGAATAATTATTTTCTTACTTCTGAGCTGTAACCTTTTTTTTTGTTATTTTCTTCTAGGGAATAAAAATACAGGAATAATATTTGGAGCCATTTTAGGGGGAATTCTGGGTGCTTCCCTGCTTAGCCTTGTTGGCTATTTATTGTGTGGACAACGGAAAACAGATTCATTTTCCCATCGGCGACTTTATGATGACAGAAATGAACCAGGTAAAAACAGTTTTCAGACCATCACCCGTGCACAATGGCTTTAGTTAAGTGACAATGCACTGCCTATGAAAGAGTTAGGGTGTTGTATGTTAGAGAAAGACAAGATTCATTTGGAGACTTCTCCTTCACCAAAATAAAAATAATTAGTTATAATAATAATAGTAATAATTTGCATTATCTTTGTGCAACATTTAAAAAACACTTGGAATTTTTGCTCATTTTATTAAAACTTGTTTTATTTTTATTTATTTTTTTAATTTATTTTTTTCTTATTTTACATATCGATCCTAGTCCCCTCTCCCTCCCTCCCTCCCTTTCTCTCTCTCCCTCTCTCCACACCCTCCCATGCGTGTTTTCAGAATCCAAACATATCATTGAAGACAGTGATATGAAATTCTAGAAATATGCGTCTGAACTTTGCATGTAAACGGACCTAGAAAAAATTCATCCCAAGTGAGTTATACAAGAGCATGAAAAACAATTATAAGTTCCTTGATCAACCATGATCAGAAAAGAATCCTCTTGCATCATATGGGAACCAATAGAGACCCACAGGCAGACATTATGCAGAAAGTGAGACATTTTGGAACGCTCAGTCATAGTGGTGTGTCTCTACCAAATGCTTCCCCTCAGGGCTAAGGGAGCCCTATGCAAAAGGTGGGGAAAAGTAAGAGCCAGAGGGGATAGAGAACCCTGCCCCTGCAACCAGTGCTCTCTACATGAACATGATCAGACCTCAAAGATACTGAGGCAGCATGTACCGGGTCTGCATGTCTCTGTTCTAGGCCCTGTTTATATTTTTGGCTTCCAGCTTAGTGTCTTTATGAGATTCCAGAGTATGAGAACAAGTAGGTCTCTGGTTATTGTGCCCATTTTGGGCTTTTTTTCCTGTTTGTTTGTTTTGCCCAAATCCAATGTGTGTTAGTATTTGTTTTATATTATTACATTTTATTTTATTATTATCCCTTGAAAAGAAAACAAACAGTTCTGCTCTCAAACAATAATGTTAATAATAATAATAACAGCAAAAAAAAAAAAAACATAAAAGAAAACAGAAATGTTGCTCTGAAGCACAGTATCTGAAAGCTTCATATGTAGAGAAATAAAGGCATTATACTTTAATTTAGAACTTTCCCACTCATATAATGTTTTTTTATTTTTATTTTTTGTTTTTTAAGTCAACGAGGCTCTAGAGATAGTTTGATGGTTTAAATATTTGCTGCCTAAGCATAACTACAAGAATTCAAATCTCTAGAACCCATGGAAACTTTTGATAAGTCAGCCTGCAGTTTCAGCCCTTGCCAGGTAGAGATGGGATTTCCCTAAACGAGGTGGCTAGTGAGCCTAGTCTTATTGGGAGGAACTGTGTTCACCTGAGGGACCATGTCTCCATGTGTGACATGCAGGTCGCTTGAAACTCCTGACATCATCTTCCAGTCTCCACATGCATTTATGCACACATGTAGACATGCATAAGTACATGTCATACACACACACACACACACACATACATACACACACTCACATGCACATGTACACAAGATTTAAAAGGTAGTAATAATATCTGTAATTAATATAGATACACTAAATAAAACAGAGTGTTTTATCACCATAGACATTTCACTCCTGTTTTCTGGCATGTACAAAGATTTCTGCCACCAATGCAAATAGTTACCTGACTCTAATGAGTCTACTGGTGAAGTCTCATTAAATTCTCATGAGTTCAGTTTATCATTGATATATTACACACACTGAAAATCAAATCCATTAACTGTAAGTTCAGAAGAATTCTGTTTGTAGGTTTCAACTAATCCATATAAAAAAAGTGACATGTTTCAAAGTTCAAGAGAGGATTTTTAAGTTTTCAAATACATGATTTTCAATAAGAATTTTGTCTTATGTACATAATATAAAAATCATTCTGTCAGGTTTTCCATTTTAAGTAGTTGTGACTGATGCCTAGAGCAACAGCAAGTCAACAAAGAGACCTTTTTTGATCTCCTCCATATAGTTTAGGAGACCTCTTCAAAGACCCAGAGTTCCCAGGAGACTAGTTTGCAAACAGATGGCTTAATAAATAGTCAGGCAGCATAATACTTATAGGAATAATTAGATCACTTATCTAATTAGTAATTAGTCCCTGCTTACAGTACTTTAAGATATCCAGTACATAGCAGGTATTCTCTGAAAAACATACTCAAGATCATTAAGAAAGTATTTCACTTTCCTGAAAATGAAACAAAAATCTCCTGATTCATCTATCAGTGTCCTGAGCGATACTTAGATCTGTCAGATAAGAAGGAAACATACTTTTATAAGTTTCTTTATTTCTTTGACAGGGTTGACTATCAAGGTTTCATGATAATCAGTAAATAGTAATGTTTTATTAAATGTCCTAACTTAAAAAATAATTTTTGTAACTATCTTATTGAGTTCTTTGTATATCTTTGAAATCAGCTGTCTGTCAGATGTAGGGTTGGTCATTTCTAAAGTGTTGAAAAGTCACTGTATCCTTATCTGATGAGTGAAATTATAAACGTTTCCTGAATATTTGTTTTTGCTTCTTGTGATATCCTTAAAATAAATTCAATTTCTCTAAAAAAATAATTTTTGTACCAGACATTGAAACCACAAAATTCAAATCAATCAGTTATATTTATATTTTCATGTATAAGGTATTAGTGTGCTTTGTTGATAAGCTTTGCTTTTCTTATTTTCTTAATTTTGTGTCTAATTTAGAATTTTAGAAATGCCACTGTTTTCTTATGCATGGAATAAATGTGGCATGCAAATTCTACTTATCTAACATTTCAGAAGTAATGTCTGAGAAGTGCACATAGAAGATGTATCTGTTCATCACCTAGAAGAGTTCCTATAGTTTGATAATGTAATCAGGTGGCTGAGCATTCATCATTGAGATTACCACATAAAACTACTCTGTTGATTTTACTGTTTTTTTTTTTTTCAGTTCTGCGATTAGACAATGCACCAGAACCTTATGATGTCAATTTTGGAAATTCTAGTTATTACAACTCAGCTGTGAGTGATTCATCCATGCCAGAAGGTGGAGAAAGTGTGCATGATGGCATTCCCATGGATGATATACCTCCACTTCGAACCTCAATATAACACTAGGAGAAAAATGGCTGCAGAGGACGATAGTTCACCTCCATCTTGACCTTTTAGTAAATTCACTTTTCAAGAAGTTTGGCAAATCATTGCTGTGCTACCTGCGCAGGGAGAGCTGCAAAAAGCAGGAGCTGTGCAGCTGAAACAGCATGACCATCACCCAAAAGCTTTCTGTTCTTACAGTCTTCAGCTGGGCTGAAGTGTGCATTATATAATCATGCTTTGTATTCTGGTTTGTTTCTCTGGGAAAACTTTGTGGAGTAAGGCAAAAATAATATGCATCACCATGGTAACACTGACTGATAACTTAATAATAACCATTCTCCATGCAAAATCTGGGGAACAAACCTATTTTCTTTCAATATTTTGTATTTAAACAAGAAACTGGAGTTAACTCTTCACTCCTCTTGTCTGCAATTCAGGATCACAAAACAACCATTTTCTTGGGGCATGATTTGGATGGTAATTTTTTTGTTTGTTTGTTTCAAATTCAGAAATATGATGTGATATGGTAGATTTTCTTTTTATTCTTAGTAATTAAGACAATAAGAATGAAAGCCTTATCATATTCTAATACATTTCAATTTTCTACAACAGCACACACATACACACGGCCATTCTCTTCAGTTGGCCAGTTTCAATGAATGCATTCAGCAAAGCCAGCAAGAAAACTGACTCTAGCCAGGAAAATGATACCTTCCCTAAAAGTTCTCAAAGTCCTTACTGCAATTCCAACTTGCATGAGTACACATCAGGTTTCAGTTAATTACACACCTTAGAATCTCAATGAGTAATATGAGTAAAAGGCTAAAGAATATACTCACATATAATTAGTATGATTTTAACTTGCTGGCTTGAAATAGAATTTGCAACACATTACATTTTTGTTCAGTCAAGTATGAATCAGTTCATCCTCTAAAGGTATGAAGCACAGGGCAAAACAAGTAAAAGCCAGGGGGTGGTGGCACAAACCTTTAATCCCAGTACTCGGGAGGCAGAGGCAGGTGGACCTCTTAAGTTCACGGCCAGCCTGGTCTACAAAGCTACACAGAGAAACCCTGTCTTGAAAAACAAAAAACAAAACAAAACAAACAAACAAACAAAAAACCAAGTAAAATTATCAAGCAAACTCATTGCCATTGTTTGTACCAGTAATAATACAAGGAACTTAATTTTGGTTTTAGTTTGTTTTTTATTAATACCCATCTTTGACAGTCTAAGCCTCAGAGATTAGAGGATTAAATAAGAGTTAAACTCTAATGAGTAAATATATGAAGAGGGAAAACAAACAAGTACCATCTTAGAGATTTTCTTGTTGAGAAAATATGTGGTGTGATTGGCACATGTGGTGTGTGCTTATGTGTGCATGTGTGCATGCATGCTTGAGTGTAGGCATGTGTATGTAGCACTGAGATATAGTTGGAATGTCAGAGTTGAAAAATGAGTAATGAAAGAAAATACTTACCCCATATTGCCATAAAAATAGCAAAGAAGACTGTCCCTCCATTATCAAACAAGTATGTTACCTTAATAGAAAAAATAGAAACATTAATTATACTAATTAATGATGGTACTAAAATAGAATAGAAGATATTTCTTGCATCAGGTACCATAATTTCTTCCCAGATTCTATCACAACATTGTGTAGTCTATTAATCTTTTGACCTGGGATCTTCATCAGTTCCCCAATAGTTTATGTGATTTCTTCATGGGAAGAGATGAGGAAACAACAGATTTTTCTTCTCTCTTCCCTCTAATTCCTTTGTACCCCAACTTCATTCTGGCTTTTACGTGTTTCTAGATCCCCAAAGAAGCCATTCATTTTATGCCATAGTCAAACACATTAATACTGTGAAACGCAAAAAGTTAGTGTCTAAGTTAAAGATTATATGGTTTGTTTCCTGTCAGCAAGTTTCCAGAATGGGGAAGTTATAGAACAAAGAGAAGAGGTAGTAAGCATGTTTCTTTAGTTGAATGCTGTCACAGTGCTATTCCTTTCATGTTTTCCAAATGTGCCATGGGTCCAGTAGTGATATACTCCTTGTAAAGAGTTCCTTCTTAAGTTGTTTTAAGAAGTTTTTCATGAATAATTAAGCACATTTTAATCAGCTATTACTCAATTAAAGCTTGATAAAATATGTAAAGTTATTCAATGTTATAGAATATAATTTTCAGGATTGCAAGGACTAATTGATTTTAATAAAATTCTGATGTAATAAAATCCAGTTTGCTGGTGCTTCTTTTAATTTGCACAACACTTTCCCCAGAAATTAGTGAAATTAAATATTTGGCATGTAAATAAAAACCACATAAATAACAACAGTCTTCTGAATATCTGTGGAAGATATATTGCAAAGTATTCCAGAACTTCAGACTGTGCTAAACCCTGCTTGCTAAAGCTTAATGTATAAGTCTGTCACAATAAGAACACAATAGTAGCCAAAGATAGGATAGAGCAAATATAACAACATACAATAAGTCAGTTGTGAATGTGGACTTCCTCACATGTACAAAACTTAATAATACTATACTCACACTCTTCTTGTAGAAATAATGTGAGATAGTATGTCTACATGCTCAGATGAATTGAGGTGAGTGAAAGTGGCATTGTGAGGTTGCATGAGTCTAGATTTACTTAGTCACAAATACTCTGATACTAAGAACATAGGACTTTTACCCAAGGGTTATTGTATAGCTAGCAGATGGGTAGCATATACTACAAGGATATGCAAAGAGATGATTCATGTGCCAGGTAGAATAGAATGGAATGGAGTCTAAAACCTATGAATAATTTAATACTGGATTTTTATTTAATGTTTGCAAAGTTCACTTTACCAAGGTTAAATAAAATCACAGAAAATGAAACTGTGAATATGAAGGCTATTGTACACAGGAAAATGAGCATTATCCCCCAAAGAAGATAAGGCAAATTATGAGTTAAACATCATTCTTATAAGAGAAGTTGGGGTAGAATGGCATCCACCTTGATTAGTCTATAGTCAAGAAGGCTCCTAATGAGGACATTACGATAATACTGATGTAGATTTCAATTGTAGCCTTTTAAAAACATTATGAACAATGCTTAGCTTGGTGATGGAGGACTTGTCTAGAATGCACAGGAAAGTGTCTTATCCTGCAGCACAGCACAGAAAAAAAAACAAAACAAACAAAAAAAAAAAAAAACAAAAAACAAAACACCAAAGAGAAGCCTTGGGGACTGGGTGTAAGTACAAAGTTTTCTTAGTTAAGGCTGGAGATTTCTAAAATTATTATGTATTGCTTTTCAGAATAATCACTATGGATAGCAGAGACAAGTATCATAGAAAAATTCCCCCACAGAGAGCATAAAATTACACACATCAGGGGAAGCAGAGAGACCTGAGCTGTTTTAGTAGTTGAACAGCTGTCTGTCTCCCTCTTTAAACAAACAGTACAGGAACAGCCTCTCAGAGTGCTACAGAGTCTTTACATATGCGGACTTAAAGGTCACCAAGAAATGGAAGGGTTCCTCTTGCTTCAGACACAGCCATGCTTTTAGAAAACTGGAAGTAAAAGGCCACAGTTAACAACAACAAAAACATGCTTAGTGAATGTGATTGCTTATAGTTTATGCAGTGTTCACTTTAAAATGGTTTCCATTATCTTTTAAAAAGTTCACCAAAAAACCCTCAGGCACATTTGAGCTCAAACTTGGTCATTAGCAGTTTAGAAACATAATTAGTTAACTAAGGTGGGTATATGTAATATTTATATAATATATATTTTCATTGTGAATTATATACATGTAACAGGAGATAGAACTAAAATAAGAACCAAGGAAGATTTCAAAATGTGCAGGAGTATAATGATGTCAAAATAATTTTCTTAGATTTACAACTTGTTTACACATCAAAGGTATCAGGATATTGGAGATCACAGAGATAAGTAATTAGCCTGTGTCTATAATCCACTTACTGATTACTTTTTGATACTGACAGAAAAAAAATGCTGAGTTAAAATGGGGAATGAGAGAGAGAGAGAGAGAGAGAGAGAGAGACAGAGAGAGAGAGAGAGAGAGAGAGCAACTGAACACACTGTGGTTTGGTCAAGATTACATCTGAGGTAATTGGAAGGAAAAATATGAGCTTTGACCTTTCTAACAGGAAAGAACATTTGCTACTTCAAAGAAAATATCAAGTTTAATTTTCAAAAAATATTTCAGACTTTTCTAAAAACAATGGATGTTTGCTCTTCCTAAGAATACATATTTTCAATGATTTGTTTTATTCAAATCAAGTTCTATTCAGATTTACGAACAACCATTTAATTTTACATTGTTGATGAGCACAGAGTAAAGTTAGAAGGGGGTTCTGTACTGGCCTAACAGTACAAATTCCCCATGGTAGTTAATGTCTGATTTTGCCTTGAACATTGAGCACTGTTAGTCGTTGATGAATGCTGGTATTATTTAAGCACATCCCCTTCCTGTGATATTGGAAACTTGAGTTTATGTCTCATTTGCTATGGCTAGTAAGTCTCTTCTAATACTTCTTAGAAAGTTTGGAACTTCATGATGTTCGGACAGTGACACACTCACAAAATCTCATCTATAACAAATGCGCAGGGATCTACTGAGCTAATCCAATCCTGTAGGCCAGGCTACCACTGTTGGCATGCTCCTAAGGGGATTGGAATTTGGTCTGAGATGCAATTATTTCTCACTTTAAATCCTCAACTCTTGGGTAGCAGATATAATGCATAATGGTCTATATTCAATATACCTAGATGAAATGTACTCAAATTGTGTAAATTTTGGTTTAGTGCTCCCCTACACAGTTGTCTTTAAATGTGTGCCTCAGAACCATATCTCCACATGGATCTGCTCAACAGTTATATTTCCATGTGTTATCCATTGATTAAGTGATTCTAAATACCCAAAATCTTGAGCTCTGTAGTATTCTTCTTAAACAAATGTCCTCTGCAATTTTGGTGGATGATCTGGCAGACTCTTTCTTGAAATTTCTTAAAGGAAGAGCCTACTGTATCTCCTATTTCTGTAGTAGTTTTATAATCAGTATATAGCTAGAGTCACATATAAGTACTGAATAATTGTTTTCTAAAGAAATGAACTTTAATAATCAAAGTAAAAATTATGGATGAGCTTAGCTTAAAGCATTGAGTTGCTTTCACAACTACATGCAATATTGAGTGCCTCTCTTTAATATTTAACCTTCAGGAAAAATCATAGAATCACATGAATTGATAGTGCAGTATTTTGTTTTTAAATGGTTGCACAAATATAACTAAATTACTTAGTTAAATATTATTTTTAATATGCACATAGGTTTATTTGAAATATGGTGGTATATACCTATAATTCTGACACTTAGGCTGAGGCAGGAGTTTCATAAATTAAAGGCCAACTTCAGCTACATAGATCCTGTCTCAAAAAAATTAAAAAAATAATTTTTCTCTCTGAGGTCCAAATTTTGCAGAGCAACAAGCTGTAAAGTATCTATCATTGTCATGTGATATTTTAATTCACATAGTTTTTATTGCTAAAATCAAAGTAGGCAGGCAACTTAAGGAAATAATATATATATATATATATATATATATATATACATACATTGTCTGTGTATGTATATATGATAAAAGTAATTTTTACATACAAACACATATGCATTTCAAAATAATATGTGGTAGTGTTTAATTTCTTCTCCCTAGTCTCAGGAATTAATAGACTCCTAACGGAACTGAAGTGACAGCTCATATTGTCTTGTGGCTAGTAATATAAATCTAGAGTTGTTAGCACATAAATGAGGATTCATTTTCCTCCATCAAATATAGAGGGAAAGTGATATCTAAAGATGTAAAACAAGTAGTTATATGTAATCTTGTATAGAGAAATGTAGCACCTAGAAAACTTCATACAATTTGTACTTATTTCTTGTGCTTTTTATGAGGCAATATTTTCTACTGATTTCTGCATAAATTCTCAAACAACTCTTGAAGTATGTATGTCTTTATGTGTATCTTCCTTATTCTTATTGACTTTTGCAAAAGCCCCCCCGTTTTAAACATTCTTGGACAGATTCTCTGCTTTTTAACTCTGATACGTACAGATAATTTTGTCTTTAGTGTTCATGTCTTCCCATTATTGGATTTAAAAAAAATTAGAAGTAACATAAGTAACATATATCTAGACCTTTGTTATCTGTAAGGCTATTAATTTTGGAACATCTTAGCAGTTCATAACTTTATAACAGAGTGACTTGTATATATTCATATCTATCTATCTATCATCTATCTAACTTTATTGTATCTACTTGTGTCATCTATATGTGCTACACTAGAATTATTAAAAAAAGTGATGTGAAAATACAGCTACTAAACAGGATATTCATATCTAAGTCTGTATCATCTTTGTTGGACCTTCCCAGAGAACTCAAAAGTAAGCATGTTTTTAAAGTAAACATATGAATTTCCTTAAATCTTAGTTATTCAAGATAAAAAGTAGCTAACTTTTCTAAGTTTTTGGTTTGTGATAAAGTGATTAGTTATTGATATTGCATTGGACCTTGTGAAAATTAATTGTTATAGGGAACTCTACTTTTATACAAGATGGACCAACAAGGATCAATTTTACACCTATGTCTGAAACAACCAAAACAGTATAAAGGAGGCACAGCAACAGGAGAGGTGGGAAAGAAATAAGGAATTATCATTACTTGAGATTACCATTCTAAAAGAGTTCCAGGCATATAAAGAACTATGAAAATTAAAATGTTTCAATTAAATAATTTGGTGAAAACTATGCATCAAGTGTGCATGTATATAAGGAAACTACCAAAGGTCAAAGACAGAACCAAGAATGGACCAAAGTTCCCCAAGCATGTACTCTCATAAGCCATTCTAGAGTTTCTCATCATTCCTGGTACCTTAGTAGGGTACACAGGAAAGTCTTGCTTTTGTTGTAGAAGCAACAATATCTAGACAGAGCACAACAGTAGTCCAAGGTGACTATTTTGAAAGAAAAAAAGGCCCCTTCCAGACATCAAATGATTTTTAACTAACTAAACCATAATGACATGCTTCTAGACATCTACCAGAGTCTTTACAATTACAAAGATTGACACACTGATGCTAGATGTGTGGGAAACAACTCTTGGACATGACTGCAAAAGATGTGGTACATACTATAGTTTAACCAATTTGGATAATGGTGGGTGAGCCGTTTTTCAAAAGGTCATCATGTACATAGTTTGACTACTTACTTTTAAGGTAATGGGTGAAAATGTAATCTGACTCTAATGTTTCAAGTTGGGACCTTTGAGAAGTGATTAATAATATACAAATCACCAGTGGAGTCCAGTCATTGAGAAAGAATTCGTGATTATGTAAAAATGAAAGTGACCAAACAAAATCTCACCCTGCCAGTCTCACCTTGGGCCTCTCCTCTGCATTACACTGGGGCTCTGTCAGCAAGAAAACCTTTACTAGGTGATACCCTGAAATATGCTACCTCAATAATAATGAATTAAAATAACCTCTTTTCTTATATAGGTGACTTGCATCAGGCAAATCATTGTAATATATACACTGGACTAATACAGAAGTTAACAATAAAGCTATCATCTAACCTGAATATTCTATTTCTAGATAATGACCAAAGAGAAATTAAAACTGTCAGCCATAAGACTGGGAAATGAGTACTTTTAGGAGCTGTAATTAAAATGGGAAATGCTTTAATATGTAAGCAAATAACAAGCATTGATATAGAGAAAATGGAACAGTATTCAACAACAATGTGAATGTTCTGCTGCTAAATGTTACATTTTAAGATGAATTTCAAAACTGTAACAGTGTACAAGAGAAGTTATAAAAAATCATACCATTTAATGTCATACATATAGACATCAAGAAACATGCATGCTTATTGTTAGTTAATGACTCATTATAATTGGTTACCTAAACAGAGGAGAGGGTAAGAAGGTATGTAGAAGCTTTTGGAGGTGACACATATGTTCATTATCTCCACTGTCATTATGTGTTTCACAGGTACATATGCATTAAGAAAATGTACTGACTTTTACTTTTCAAGTGGATCTAGTCTAGTTTATTACATGCTAATTTTTCTCCCGTAGAACTTTTTGAAAATAAAAACTGATAAAACAGGTATTCTTTATATTTGTATGAATATTGTGTTTACCTAGGAACTTTTAGAAATGTTGGAATGTGATGGCATCTAGCTTTTAACCTACAGATTCCTATTTAATAGCTCTGGGATGAAGCTTGCTGTCCAGGAGTTTAAAAGTCCTTCAGGTTATCCTGATAGATAGTGGTGTGGGACTTTGGGAAATGACATTTCATGTCCTCTGTGTAGCTAAAAGTATTTTAACTTAATAAATTCATGAAAGATAGAAATTGAATCATCGCCAAGGAAATAATTACTCTCATAAAATGAATCAGATGCAATGTCAAGTGGAGGTTTGTATCTAAGGTGTCAGTTACCAGTTATAATAACACAAGAAGAAAAAGATTAAAATAAAATATATTCTCTTTTTAATTTCAACAGACTGGTTTTCTTTTTCAGTTGTCAATAACTCTAATGATTGAGGAAGATTTTAGAGATAATTAATTTTTGCAGAAAAGCTATTTCCTGGGAATCTTTTTACTATCCAAGTGTTCCAAACACTGGAGTTCATGGTAGGGACTGATTAGGCCCACACTCACCTTGGCATAGATGCAGCTGTCATTGAGTCTCTGCAATGAACAATTCTTGTCACACAGAGGGCACATGAAGACTTCAGTGGCTTTACAAATTTCTTGGCTTGAAAAATTAAAGGAGAAAGTGTGAACCACTATCTTAGCCCTGCAGAACACACTACTTTGAACAGCAATGCAGAGAGGAACATGAGGGAATAGGAAACAATCAGGATAGAGTTAGACTATGGCTTGCTTCTATGTCAATATTTTATGATATTTGTGATAGAGAGCTTCTTATTTGTTTCTTTAATTGAAAAAAACTCTGACAAATAATATAATAACAACAGGTCATACATTTACTTTTATAATACTTTATTTTAAATAAAGGTGTTTTAATCTATGATCTCTCATGGCATACACAATTATCTTAGGCAGTAATCTCTGGAGTATTTATCAACCTCACCATTTTAGAATGGACTAATCTAGAGACATACCTGACTGTTCTGATTTCTCAAGTAGAGTGATCTGATAATCCATAACATAGACATCAATATACAATCTTATGAAGAATGTTTTCTAAGAACTTAAGGTGTGTGTGTGTGTGTGTGTGTGTGGTGTGAAATTTCTTGACCGCTCTGTCAGGATAGCATAGCATTGTCTCCATGTAAATATATTTTCAATGAGGATGCAATTTTATGAAAGTATCACTTCCATTTTATGCCTACTGCCTTTAAATATTCCAGTGTATATTATAAATAGCTTTGTGATAAGAGTGAGGAATCATTAACAATTTCCTGATAGCTTTATTTATTCAGAGTTCACAACCATCTCATTTTAGGATTTTTGTGCCTTTATGTGACACCCATGGTCATTTTTCACTTTGTATTACCCTAGTAAAATGTTTTTGAAATAACATCAGTTTTAAAATGTTGAAATGAAATTAAACCCTTTAGAAAACACTTTTTGAAAAGCAATTATTAATTTAAATTTAATTGGCAAAATTTGCAGCAAGATTTGATTCTTTTAAAAAATACATCGAGTAAACACCAAAAAAAACTGTGTATTTGAATATGAAATTTTAGCCCCAATTCAAAGTGAGAATATATAGTATACAATGATATGACGTAAGCAATGATGCTTCAGGCAAGAGGAGCTGATTCCCCTTAAACTGCTTACTTTTCACCTATCTAAGGTAATGCCAATTATCTCTGCTTAGCACTGGAAGTATAAACATAAAAAAAGGTAATGCTCAAGGTCACAGTGCTAAGAAGGGTACCTCAGGGACATGAAGAATTTGCCTATTATAGATCTAGTTTCTCAATAATTATAACATAATTGAAACTGAATCAAATTCATTTCAGATTCTATTATGATGGATTAATGCAATTAGGATGTTTACATACAGAAGGAAATCATAAAATACACATATTTAAACACCAAAAGGAAGAGAATACAGTATCTTCTCTTAGCAATCCCAAAAATTTCAGAAGAAAAATTTACATACATTTTGAAGAAAATTTAAGCTACTATATTTTATTTACGTGTGTGTGTGTGTGTGTGTGTGTGTGTGTGTGTGTGTGTGTGCTTGTGTGTGTGTGTGTGTGTGAAGCATGCCAAAGGGTGTTTTTTGCAGTCAGAGGACACCTTGAAGGAGTTAGTTCTCGTCTATGTAGTGTGGGTTCCAGGCACCAAACTCAGGTGTCTGGGCTTGGCTGCCTTTACACAAAAAGCCCTTTCACCAGATATAAGAAATAATAATTTATGGACAATTTTGCCCCCTCTGAAACAGGGAATTTGCATAGCATTAATTTATTTTACTTAGCACACAGAAGGAAGGAAAATTCTCCTCGTGAATTTGCTGTTTCTTTTCCAGAGCTTGATAATACATTGTCACTGAAATTGTGGCTTACTTTATTTTTGTACCTGTACTAAATTTGCATAGTAAAGACTGATTACAAAGAAATAATGACTACTACCAACTTAAAAAGGAGCAATGTACAGTCCATTTGGAGTAAGTGTTTGGACCTACCCCTCTGGTGCTCTAATACTCCTAGTATAGTGGTTCTCAACCTGTGGGTTGCAAGCCCTTTGGCAAACCTGTATCTCAAAATTACATTATCCAGTAGCAAAAATAGAGTGAAGAAGAAGCAACAAAATATTTTTGTGGTTAGGGGTCACCAAAACATGAGGAACTGTATTAAAGGGTTGCAGCATTAGGAAGATTGAGAACCACTATTAGAGATTCAGCTCACATTATAAGCAGAGGGCAGGAAATACCTGCTGGATGATAAACACATTGTAGCATACAGGTGAACACAGACAAAGGAAAACAGATTAGACATGGTAGCATGAACAAAGCATCTGTTTTAGAATCATATGTAAACATCAAGCAACTGTAAATCAAGACCACCAATCAATGAAGACTGAATTTTATTCTTTTTATTGAGGGTTTGAGGAGGTTGCTAGGGATTGAACACAGGGCCTTCCTTGGTCACATAAATTGAGTTCTCTTCCACTGAGATTTATCTCCAGCCTGAACTGCTAGAACATTTTATAGTAACACTGAAAATATGTATTGCTAAGGATGTGGAGATATTGAAATTTTAGTATGTTAGCGAGAATCTCAAATGCTGTTATGGGAAGTTGTAAAAGTGCTTCAAAAGTATTTTTTAAAATGTTCTTATATGATATACCATATCATAACATATGATGCTATAGCTCTATTTCTAGATATATTAAAAAAGTAATAAAACCAGGGTTTTAAAAAGTGATGTTTACTGAAAAGCATTCAATCCTCAGTTTACATGGTACCCAAAAGCTGGGTGCCAGGTTGGCATTTCTACCTTCATTCTGTGTCTGTACCTTTTAGAAGGCACAGGGATAGACTGTTTTTTAATTGTGTTTATTTAATTACCTTGAAATTCAGGCAGAACAAAGCTTTACGGGACAAAAATCCTTTACATATCTGTGAGGGTGAGTTTGTACCATCAGAGATGAAACCTTTAACAATTTATAGTATGACCTCTTAATGCAACCATGGTGGCTCACTGATGCATGGACCTTTGGCCACAACCGTTTACTTTTTTTGCACTGTAACTCTTGCTAGACCTTATGTTAGTCCTGTGAGGATAAGCTGGGTGTCACTAGATCTCTTTATCAGCTCCCCATCTTACTATGATTATCTTCTCTTTCCTTATTATTGTGTCTTTAATTGGTGAATTGAAGAAGGATAGCCATGCCTCCCATTTGGGGCTACCAGAGCCTAGGCTTTGACACTAACACTTCAGAATGCTCTTGTGTTTGTGTGATATTTTGATTAAATTTTGACAATAAAGTTTGTTTTGAATCAGAGGGTGAAGCTGACCCAAATTAGCCATAGAGGTTTTGGAGGACTGAGGACAGATAGAGAGACAAGAAGTAGTAAGGCAGGGCCTAGAGAGGTTCTCAGCCTTTTTGAAGGAAGACATAAAAGAGGTAGGAAGTCACTGATGGCTGCTCCCCTGTTTCTCTGTTCTTTAAGTTTATTACCCTGACATCTGACTTCAGATGTTTGTTGATAAAGAATAATTAGATATAAAAACATCACTTCTGTGCTCTCATCTTCTCTGAATAATTTTTAAAATGTGTTAAATATATTTAAGCAAATTTCTATGTATCAACTAATTGATAAAAAATACTATATCTATGCTTATTGCAGAGAAGAAATTCTTTCAATATGACAACATGGATGAACGTGGAACATGTTTTAGATAGTGAAATAAGCCAATCACAGAAGTACAAACACTGAATTATTTCAATTATTTCACTTATTCAATGTATCTAGCAGGCAACCATACATGTATGAAAGCAATCTAAATGAAATCACCAATCCTGGGGAGGCAGAGGCCCAAGTGGACAACACTTGTCACCAAATGAAGCTTCCAGGGTTGAGACTGTATTGTCGGCCAAAGCAGTCCCATTGGAACCCCTAAACAACCCAGGTGGTTGCCAAGACTATAAATTGTTCTTCACAAACTGATATTAAGTTCTGTCTCATTGCTGAATATAACCCCTACAAAACTAACAGAGCATGCAGAAGTGGAACTGGTGCCTACATAGAACTTTCATCCCTACATTCCAGCATCTCTGGTACAGAAAGGTACTCTGTGTGCTATCAAAGGAGAAAGGTAAACACCAAGCCAGCTACAAAGCCTTTGATGCACAATGGTGTCCTGCCTGCAAGATATGCTTGTGAAATAGTGACACAAAGCTTGTGGTAGTTACCAGCCAATATCTGATTTGACATGAGGCCCACTCTATGAGATGGAACACATGTCTGACAAAGATTGGATGACCAAGAATCTGAGACTAGATGGCCCATGGAAAAAATACTCACTTTCTAAAAAAAGAAAATAAAAAGTAGCAGCAAAATAACTCCCAATGTCATTCTGCTATATTCATAGATCAATGTCTTGCTCAGCCATCATCAGAGGTTTCTTCCTACAGCAGATGGGAACAAATACAGAGACCCACAGCCAGACATTATGCAGAGATACCAAACCTATCATCAAATCTCTCCCCTCGGGGCTCTCTGAGAACCCATTGGAAAGAGGAGAAGCAGGACTGGAGTTGTTGAGGGAATAGAGGTCACCAAGAAACAAGTCTTTCTAGATCAACAGGATCAATCTTGTGCCCTGGTCTCTTTTCCTTTTTCCTTTCTTTTTGTTTGTTTTGTTTCATCCTATTCCAATGTGTTTGTGTTTGTTCTATTTTTATTATATTAAAATGCATTATCCCTTAGAAGCCTGTTTATTTTCTAATGTGAGGCAAAAAGTGGGTGGCCCAGAAGAAATGGAGGAGAGGAGGAACTGGGAGGAGTGGAGGGAGGTGAAATCACATTGCATCAGGAAAAAAAAAATCAATTTTATAATAAGAGGCAAAGATGAAAACAAAAACACAAACAAGAAAAGAATGTGACTGTATTTTGGTTGTCAGTTTCTGGCAGATCCATAATAAACAGGCCCATATCTCCAGCTTTCTATCATTTCACTACTTTGTAACAAACAAAAAGGAGCTTAACAAGATAGTAAGATGAACCAACACAAAACAAAACAGCCTTGTCCCTGCCTGTCCACCAAGATAACAGCCAAGACCCAACCATGTCTGGCGCCCTGAATGGAAACTTTTAGTCTCAAAAATTTCAAAGTCAAGATATTCAGTGCTTCTTATCTTGGTTTAGAATAGAAAGTCTGACAAGATCTTAATTATAGTGTGAATGCCGTGGTGAAAGCACATAACCGAAGAGTTTGTTAATGATTTTTAAAATGCTCCTTGTACTAAAGGTTAAAGAATGTGTACACCAAAGACACCTTCCACGGTAAAAAATCAATAGGGATAGTAAATTTCTTACTTTTGTGCATTTTCATGTTTGTTTTGATGGAGGGAGGTGTTTATATCTCATAGTAAGGCTATATGAAGTGTTGAAATTATGAGAATATTCCCTATGGACCCAATCTGAGCAGCAACTATTGAGAGATCATTCCTCATATTTAATTTTTATTGAAAATGGATTATTTCTCAGAGAACATATCCTGATTATAATTTCCTCTCCTCCACTCTCTCCCAGGTCCTCCCCACCTCCCCTCCCTTTTGGAACATCCCCTTTCTATCATTAGAAAAGAACCTGATTCTATTTGTTCATACATGGTGAAAGAACAGCCTTTTTTATTTATTATTATTATTATTTTCGGACACTTTAACTGTAAGTCTCAGCCTGTCCTCTGAGCCAAGAGATCCCTTACTGGATAGTATATGGGAATCCCCCCCCACCCCCCATACATCAAATAATCAGAGAAGGAGGGAGTTCTTAAAGCTGAGGTTTATAGAGGATGATGTTGCCTCTTAGCATCACAGTAATTCTGAAAAATCCTGAAACAAACCTGTTTGGATCATATGGCTTTGGTTTACAGTGATTGCTTTGAAAAACAAGGGAATTTAGAGTTTTCAAATCAAAGAATTTGGTTATACAACTCAAATGCAATGCAGATATTTTTCCAAGCAAAAATATTATACATATTTTAATATTTTAGAGAAAAATACCAGGAAATTGATATCTATGATACTATATATAATATTATGTTGTTAATATGTACTTCCTAGTAGCCAAGTCATTACAAAAAGTTTAGCAAAAGGAGAACACAATGTTGAGTTTTGGCAAGATTTTTAAAAAATTGTTTAAATATTTTATGTGTATGTACATGATCCTGAGGGTGTGTGTGTGCCATGTGTGTAGGCATGTTTAAAGGATAGAAGAAGATCAGATCCATTTTAGCTGGAGTTATGGGTGACACAACCAAACCAGGTCTTCTGCAAAGACAAGGCTCTTAACTGCTGAGCCCCAGCAGGGAATTCTTTGTGTTTTGAACTTGATTATATAAAATAAAATTGAGTGTGTTGAATAGTGTTATTCTCACTCAACACTTTTGTTGAGAAATAATGCTATATTTGTAAGAATAATTCTTGCCTATTTCTAACTTATGCCACTCTATTTTAAAAGTATAATCACAATTTTAATATATGATATTGGCTTTTGTTAAATTCTAGTTTTTGATATTTTTAGATTATATAATACATACTGGAAAAAGAAATTTATCAAAGAGATAAGAACTCTTGGGACACATTAAAAGAATTTGCCAATCAGGAGGCAGAGGGAGGAGGATCTTAGTGAGTTTGAAGCCAACCTGCCTACAGAGCTAGTTCCAGGACAGACTCCAAAGCAATACAGAGAAACCCTGTCTCAAATAAAACAAACAAGCAAACCAACAAACAAAAAACAAAAAAAAAAAAGAACAAAAAAAGAATTTGCATATAAAACCATAAAAATTACATTTTAACAGCACTCTATTATACTAAAAACAAAACAAAACTCACATATGCAGCACTGCTATTATTTACTTTCACCATCATTGGCATTTGTAATTTCAGAAAGAAGGACAAATATTTTGGACAATCTCTTCATAGCTCACCTTACTTGACTTTCATTCATTGTAACTAATCCGTAGAAGAAAACACACAGGCCAACAACTGCGGCAGGAATCAGCATTCCAGTATACCATCCCAGCCAGGCAAAGTATAAACCAATCTTCTCACCAAAGTATAGCCTGCACAAGAAAGCCAATCTTCAGTTTGAATGAATGCAATATAAACGACCCAACAATCCCAAATACCATAACTAGTGACAATTTCAGATGGAAGCTGAGACCTCTAGCTTATGTACTTGTCAGCAATAGTGTATCTGACCCTTATGGCTGTTAATGACTATAATAATGGCCATGATATGTTTCTGTAAACTTTCAACAATACCTATTGCTTGTCCAACTTTCTTAAAATAGTTTTCATAACCCAAAACCAGTACATCTCCCTCCTCCTAATAGTGAACATTTTTAGTCACTTTTTAGTTTCTAACAGAGCAATGTTTTCTTGAGAATAAATGAAAAGGAAAAAGAAAAAATTCAGTTGGCTATCTGATTGGATTCTCAGTGCAGGGTAGATATGTCTCCACTTGAGCCTCTGATCAGATGTGCCTATGCTATACATCTCATCTTCTTCCACTAAAGCTCTATTGCTTGTCTGAAGCACATTTCCTTTGATTATCACAGGCCTCTAACTAAAACAAAAGTTTCCCTCTTCCTGTAACTGGTAGTTGCTCTTTTTTCATATTGTTTCTTCCAGGGAGCCTTTCTCTCTAATCCACGTTAAGATATTTTGCTCTTGTTCCCACACTGCCCTAATCCATGCTCCAATTAGTGTCATCAGTCATAGCTCTTCTTTATTCCTCAGTTATGTGTTACCTCCAAAATATTTAAGCGTCTTGAAGGTAGAGTTGCTCATTGGTTCACTAGCAGCCACTATTAAAAAAGTAAAATAAGCTAAAGAAATTCATACACTTTTCAGTTGATATGGAAGTAGCAAATTAATGAGGCAGTTCAAAGATCTACTTAATTATTGTTCCTTTATTCACTTCAATGTTGGTTTTTTGTAGGTCCATAATTTATAAAGGGCTGATAACAATAATTTTACATTCCCTGACTTCCTTACTACTTTAAGGTCTCCATTTTCTAAAACCAATTATATAACATACCCCTGCCTGCAGCTAGCTACATTGTTGAAAACTGATGCTTCTCAGTGATTGTTGCTGGGGACAAAATTCAATTATTATTTCTTATTAACAAGGCTTCGCTTTCTGCTTGTGAACAAGTGGATATCTTTAAAGTAGCTACAGGGACCTATCTGCTCATAACACACTAATATATTAATCTGCATTTTGTTGAAGTTAATAGAAACAATATTATCAGGCTAGAATATGATCTGAGTCAAAGCAGGTTTCAGTGTGTGTCAGGAGATGGAGAAGCTAGCTGCAGACAAAGAATAGCTCAAAATGACCTTGCCCAAGAACACTGACATTGACAACTATCTATAATATTTAATTATTCCTTAGCAGAACAACACAATCCCACAGCAGAAAAAGAACCAAAGGATACTTCGCAGCAGTTTCCCATGACTGCTCAATCAAGGCCATCTGCTTTGTCTGTTTTATGTAAAGTTCCCCTTGCGATATTTCAGTTGATCTGTCCCTTGCTAAACAGTTTCTATGTCAAAATAAACTGTGGTATCTATCGTTTTAGAAATAGTCACTTAATTCAACAACATTTTTTTAATTGAAATCCCTGATACCTATTGTTAAAATTGTTTGAAATGTCATACCACTGCTTTTGCAATTGATGATTTTTTTAAAGCACTCCTTTGGATTTCAAATAGATTCCATGGGAAATTTGGTTGAAACTAAATAAGCTTTGGCTACTAAGTATTTGAATCAATTTTAAATTGAGAAAACTATATAAACACATCTCCAGAAATGATTGTTCATTTTTTTTTTTAAAAAAAGGTAAGTTGAAAGCCTTTGGCTCATATATCACACCAAGGCATTTGCTTACTGAACATGACAATGCCAGATTTTCCTGTGTGAATCCCATTAGCTATGATCAAAAGAACCCAGCTGTCACATACCATCCTACGTAAAGACCCATGACCAGCTTAACTACAAACAGTTAAAAGTTCTGGAAAATTGTGCCTTGTACAAAATAAATGCATAGGCTTAAGTGTGTTAACCTGAATAGCCTCCACATTACTTCTTCAGTTTCAGTTTTAACTAAGTTGCTAGGAAATGCAGTCCATTGAGATGTCACGTGTACTCGTTAATTACATACCCTCTTCTGGTGGATGTCTCATGACACATCATTGCTTATTCACTTTAACACATGCTTTCATGAGAAAATTACCCATCTCCATGAGTAATCAAACAATAGTAGCTGAATAACTCTGCATGTTACTAATAGGGACCCCATTTATTTATATAGCATCATAGCTCAGTTTACCTGGAACAATAATAGCAATGATGATTGTAGATAGGAATAGTAATTCACGCTGAAATGCTACTCAGAAACCATCATCTGAGTTCCTAGTAAATATTTTTGAGCCAGCACATCTCACCCTATTGTGTCTATCCATCTCCAAAACAATTATCCCTTTACCTTTATAAATTAGAATAATGAAATTTGTCATGGTTGACAGAATAAGAGTCAAAGTATCTTGATTTTGCATATACTCAGCTACTAATATTTGCTGCGTATTCATCCTGTGTATCTCCAAGTGCTTACTCCACTTACTACCCTGTGACCCACAGAGTTCACCTCTATGGATCCTTATCCATTTGCTTTTTTAAAACTTCTGGTTTCTAGACAGGCTTGATGATTTCATGACATATATGGTAGATGACTTCCTTTCTCTTGTGTCACGGTTGTCTACAACTGCTTTCTTCCTCAGGTCACAGCTTGTATCTGGCACTTCCTTCTGTGGTTAGTCATTAGATGGTCCTGGCAAGTCTTACCTCCTCTTGTGTCTTTAAGGTAAGGTTTAATAATTGCCTCTAGTTTTACTAGTCCCTGAGCATACTATTGTATTGGCTTCCATGATACCACATCCCGATGCTGTGCATACTGTTTTACTGATTTCTCTTCAAGTACCCCTTCAGTAATCTGCTTCCAATGACACACTGACTGATGTTTTGTCAGCTATTCTTTATATTCTATAAACAGATAAAAATATCCACACATATAGCCTAATAATATATAAATGTTTTTCTTTTATCTTATAGATAGTCATCATTAGCTAGGGAATCAGGATAGCATTAACATATTTCATGTTTTTTATATGAACAATGTTTTCTTCAACAAAATAAAATATGTCAGCCACAAATATAAGTATTCCAAAAGTAAAACTGAATTCTTCCATGGTGATGCATGTCTTTTATTCTAGCATAGGCAGGCAGATCTCTGTCAGTTCGACTTTAACCTGGTTTACACAGTAAGTTCCAGGGATACACAGTAAGACACCATCTCAAAATAAATAGATGATAGATAGATAGACCGTCAGACAGAGAGATGACAAAGTTAAGAGCAACTACCTACTAGAAAGTGCTCATTGAAATAGAGAAAAACCTTTTTCAAAGAGAAATGTAGCCAGTCCTGTGTATTATCAAGTTCTTCATGTACAAATGCAACTATTCATCCATCAAAGTTGTGTCTGTACTAAACACGCAAGGTCTATTTTACTTGCCATTCATCTCTAAAGATACAGCATATCAACTATTTCCCTAACATTTACATTATATTAGTTATTATAAAAACTTTAGGGATGATTGAAAGTATGCTAAAGTATTTGTGTAGATTATGTGCAAACAAACACCATATAACAGGAACATTGGCACTGTGGAGTGTGCCTCCTGAGAAGAGTTTCTGGAAGCAGTTTCAGAATCCCTTGTGAATACTGATAGGATACCACATATGCACAGGTGATGTGTTGGCTGTTTTCCTATATGCCCTTATATTTGTTGAGTACTTCCTTGTTTTTTGTTTGTTTGTTTTTGTTTTTACAAGGGAGTCAGTTGTTCTATCTCCATTGTAAAATGCTTACCATGAAGCTGGGCAAAGAGATACTGGAAGTCTTGGAGGTAGGAAGAACAAGCAAACAACCTAGGATCGTTTTCTTTGCCCCAGCATCTGGTACTTTGGGTTTGTAATACACATGTTGCCATTTCCCCTTTACCCTTAAGAAGGGTAGTTACTTCCTGCTGTTACCAATCTCTGATTGACTTAAAGACTCTTTTATTAGCTTTCGAATTGGTTTCAAATAACCAACTCCATGAATTAAATGCCTTCCATTGAAAAGTCAGGTAGTGTTTTTGTTTATGCTTTTCTGCAGAGAGTTTCCAAACTGAAATAGCTGTGCTAAGAAATAATTCCAAGAAATAATTCCAAGCAAACAAAAGAACAGTTTGCTACTTAATACCGACTAGTCCATCTGTAGTACCTGATTAAGTCCAGAGGCTGATGCTTGTACCACATTCCCCAGCGTGCCCAGCGCTCATACAACAGATGCCTGTTATTCTGAGGTCCATGGGTTTTGATGGGCAGGCTACTCTTATAGGCTCCCTGAGACAAATAAAACAACATAAGTTGGAGTCCAGTTTCTTATTAAAGTTTGAACTGAATAAGGACTAATGAATTCCTAACAAGGTAATTTATCAACATATAAAATAATTAAAGATTATATACTCAAGCCCACCACTGGAATAGTAAATGCCATTACCATTTGATAGCTTTATGAAAATGATGTTTTAAATAATTTTTAAATAATTGGGACCCTTTTACTTAAGTAAATGAGACTTATATTTCACTGGAACTCAGGGTCTTTTCATTAAAAATGACAAAAATATTTTAATCTTCAATTGAGAAATTGAGTACCATTTTTCTTTAAGAAGAGCAATGCCAAAATTCCCAAATATTGTCTATAAATGTTTGTTTTCATTTAAATGGACTTGGTTATATAAAATAAATAAATAAAAATTTAAAAAAAAAAGATTGCCTAACGAGCAAAAGTACACAATAAAAGTCACAAAAATAATATATTAAAAAAAGAAGTGAGCTAGACACAGAAACGTTTTCTTTTACTTATAGAATAAACATTTGCTAAAAAAACAGCACAGGATCATAACCCTTAGAGCCACCTATTTGCTAGATCCCATGGTCCTAAAAGTTTACTAATGATATTCTAAATTTAAGCATTTAAAACATAGCATTTTCTTTCAAATGGGCTTCATGTGGTTGAAGGTTTTCTAATCAGTATTACAGATTATTTATTAAGTTTCTTGATGTCTTGAGCTCTGGTTTGCAAGTGCTTTGAGGCTCCAATGGTATAAGTTCATACCACCTCTGACTCTTTAATAAAATAGAAAATTAGGGGAAAGGTGATACACATTCAAAGTGCAAGCCCAGGGTGTCCTCTTTAAATGCCCAAGTATTTAAATCCTAATAATTGGGAGCTAAAGAGAAGAATGAAAAACCATACTGATTGCAGGTGCAGAACATCTCCTGGGGTTACTATTTGCTCTTGAACCTAGATTGCTGCCTATCTGATACTTATAGAAAGGACGAATAGCAAAATTGTCACTATTTTGCAGTCACTGCAATAGATCTAACACATGGTATTCAACCAGTTTTAGTGGTTAGATCATATACACTTCTAGAAGCTAAAATTTAGTGTACCAACGTTTGCCACTGTGCAACCTACACTTAACACCAATTACTACACTGCTCTAGCCTGACAGTGACAAGTGGTGGGCTGCACGGGAGAGCTGACTAAAAAGATAACTCTAAATGACTCATGCACTTGTGAGGCGTTCTGAAGGCTCAAACATTGTCAATCGCCCCTAATAACAATTTTAATTGATAGTCCTTCATGATCCATCTGTGACTTAGACTGTTTTCTCATACATGTGTACCTCTGGCCAATTGGTTTTCCTCTTCCTGCTCATTTTCACTAAAATGATTTGTCATGCTCCTCTAGCTATTCCTGTTTTTGTAAGGAAAAAAAAAAAAACCCTCACAACTAGGAAGAAAACTTATGAGACTGGACATAATATCCAGCATCAATAAAAAAGGATTTTAAAGTAACATTGTCAGACTATAGATTATTTGCATTGACTTTATTTTCTTCTTTGTAAATTTTGCTTTTCTTCCATGAGTAGGTAGCAATTCAAATCAATAGGCAACTCCTGAGCCCATTTCATTGTTTCTCAATTTTCTTTTACATATTTATAGTTCAACAATGGGATTTCTTATTCCTTTTGCATATTTGTGCCACATATTTATATATCAAATAATTTATATACTTAAATTAAAAAGACGATCATCAACAGCCAGCTTTGACAGCTGACAAATTTCCCACGAGAAACTCAAGTGAGCTGTCAGTGCACAAGCTAATTATGCTGAGAAAATTACTGTGCACAAGAGAATAAACCAAACCTTACTTTGTGAAATGACTCCCTTAGCTATGCCTCTCTGATCACTTTAGCTTACCACTTTCTATGAAGTATTTGAAATGATGTTTAATTTTTATAAGCTCTATTCCTATATATCCTAAGAGAAAACTATGTTTACTTTCTTCTGTGCAGTCACAATCACAAACCTGTGCTGGCTGAGCATATGAACTATACAAAAAAATCGCTCATAATTATTAGTCATATATATTTAGTGTAAGTGGGAATTACATGAAGATCATTAACATTTCTTATGCTTATAACTGCCTTTGAAAATTTACCTTCTTGTAACTGCATTGAACATGTTTATAATGGAAGTAATATTATTGTCAGTAACTAAGGGTTGTTTCAAGTGAGAGATACTCCATACCAAACATTTAACTCATTGACAAATACATTTACAATTCATTTTATCTGCTGCAAATTCCTCATATGCTCTAACTTTTGTGTTCATTGCATTAAGTTTGTAAATCAAAGAGTAATGGTACAGAAGTGAAACCTATATTTTATTTAAAATGTGACACAAGTTAAAAAGATAAACCTAGAGTGTCTATAGCAGAGGCCAAAGAGAAGTTCAACAGATGCTAATTTAGTTGGTCAGAGTCATTGACAGCTTCTAGTTAAAACTTGCAGCAAGGCTGTCAGCCTGGAAGTGAGGTAGGTAATACACAGAGGATTTGATTGTGGTCTTGTTTTTGACTTTCAGACATTTTACAACACAAGCCAGGAACCTGCCTTATTTGGAAGGGTTGTAAATTTCAAGCAGGAGGAAGCATTGTTTGTTGTGACAAAACAGAGGAAGGCTAGAATGTTAGGCTATTCTGGTGGAGGCTTGGGTTCCTCCCATAGGACAAACTTTAGATATATTTTGGGGTTGATGGGCTACTGTGAAACTAACAGATGGTAAAAGGGTCTCAGAGGACTATTCTAGGTGTGGACACTCACATATAAATGAATGAATTTTTTTATACACTATGATGGTTTTAGTGATAAATGGTCTCTGATGGTTTCAGGCATTTGAAAACTTGGTCCTCAGCTGAGTAAGTTGATTGGGGAGGTTTAGGAAGTGGAGCCAGGAGAGGAAGCAAGCACTATCCACAGGGTTTGAGAGTTTATGGTGTCATCCTAGTTCCTATCTCTGCTTGGGTCAAGACCATGATAGACGAAACAACAGAGCTAGTTGACCTGAGCTACAGCTACATAGACTATGGACTGACAGCTGGGAAAATTGCATGGGAACAAACTAGGCCCATGAATATGTGTGACAGTTGTGTGACATGAAAAATTAATTTTGGGGGAGGTGCACTAGCAGTGGCATCAGGACCTACCCCAGGGGCATGAAGTGGCTTTTGGAGCCCACTCCTTATGATGGGATTCCATGCTCAAACTTGATAAAAGGGTGCAAGGGCTTTGTCCTTCCTCAACTTGATATGCCACTTCCTTGATTCCCCCAAGGAAGGCCTTATCCCTTCAGAGGAGTGGGTGGGGGGGGATAGGGAGGGAGGTGGGAGAAGGGGAGAGAGGGGGAACTGGATTGGTATGTAAAGTGAAAAATAATTTTTTTTTAAATAAAGGAGTGAGTTCTAAGCTTGGCTCTCCACCCATCATTTCTGCAGCTTGCTGCCATGCTGCTCCCCTCATGGATTCTAACCCTGTAGAAACCCAAGTCTAAATAACCCATTTTTTCCATAAATTACTTGTTATGGTGTTTAATCCCAGCAACAAAAAAGTGAACAACACTGTCTCACAGAATGAAACTATTTTATTTTTATTAAATGGAAAAGATCTTTCAAAATTACCTCATGTGGAGGGAAAGCTGCTATGTAGGAACCATTATTTATAAGCTTGCGAATACCTAAGGAGAACAACAACAACAAAAAAAAAATCTGAGTCAATTTCAACGAAGGCTTTTCCTGAAATCATATGTAAAAGCGCAATGAACACAGAATTATTTTAAGACAGTGATGAATCAAATGATTTCCATATCCAGGTCAACTACAGGGACAGTATTTCTGAGCACGACATTGGTACTCAGATAGGTCTGTCCTTAACGCTATATGCAAGATATGGTATTGTTTTTGTCTAGCACTCTTTGAATATAACAATGTTTACTCAAATTAGAACTTTCTGCTCCCAGCATTTGACAGGAAAGATGGTGGCTTTGAGAAACTTTTATTTTGCTAAACTGAAAAACATAAAACACTCAGATTTGTCATCTCAGTGAAGATATTACATGGTTTTCATTTGAGAATGAACAATGAGAAAAACTTTCTGGAGATGTTTAGTTGTAATGTTATTACATTATTAACATTAATGAAATATTTGTAAACCTGAAAGATGGAATCCTTTGTGCAAACACAATTACATAAGGTGCTCATTAAGTAATTGAAATTTAATGAGTGCATATATTAGACTGTTCTACAGGAATTTGCAATGCCATTTTCATGTGATACACAATGGCTTGAGAAAATTGTTTTTAAAAAGCAAAAAATGCATATCTATATTTTGAAATAATGCATTTTTTACCATTTTTCGATAAATTCATCACTGTGGCTAAGAATACTTTTTGCTTTATTTTAGCTCTCCTGTTTTTAGCATATTTTCCACCAAGGGCATGATACCTTCATAGTCATTTAAAATGTCTTTTAAATATACAAATACAATTTCCTATCACATAGAAAAATTTCAGCTCATATTCTGGATATTTTATTTTTGTTTCATTATTATTATTATTTAGTTTTCTAATTTTATATATCAATCCCAGTTCCCTCTCCTTCCTTCCTTCCTTCCCTCCTTCCCTCCTTTCTCCCACTCTTCATGCCCCCACAAACCACCCTTCCATTCCATCCACCCCTACTCCATAGGGAGGGTGATGCCTTTCAGGAGGGGTCAACAAAATCTGTCAAGTCATTTGGAGTAGGGACTAGGCCCTCCCTCCTGCCTCTAGGTTAAGGGAGTATCTCTCCATGGGTATCTAAATATTCTCATTGTTTTGGGTGAAGTTTTAGTGTCTAAGGTAATTATTCGATTGCTCAGTCACAAATGAATTGTTAGTCAGAAATAAATTTGGCCTGATGATTCTTCTTGCCATAGTAAATATCAAACACAACTCTTTTTTTTTTTTTTAATCAGTGTTGTTTTCCATCCTAGCACAATCAGGAAAGATTGTGATAGATACCATGGGCTGTCAATTTTTAAATTCAAACAATTTAAAGCATTTGGCTAACACTTATTTCTTCATTGCTGCAATTTAGACTCACAATTAAAAGGTCAATTTATATGTTAGTTTTGTTTTCAATTTTGTGTGAGGTTTGCAATTTTATTTATCTCATTCTGGTTGCTAATATCTCAATTTTCTTTTGTATTTCATATGTACCAAACTGTTAACCACATCAAATGCTATAAAATTTCAAAATTTAATATGTTAAAATAAGTGACCACTTAATATTCCAGAAATAATCTCATTAGGTTATTTACATATTCTTCTATATTTTCATTTATTTTTATATCTGTCTATTAATAAAATGGAATCACACTAGCCCAATAATTTTGTAATTTCCTTTTCTTAGTGAATCATGAAGAGCTTCCAAAACTAGTTATAGCTAGGAACTAATATTAATCTCAGAATATAAACTCTGTGTCATAAACTATTTACATATAGTACACAAGAAATAAAATTATGGGTATATATTTACAGATAGAGGGTCTGGAAATTATATTGATAAAGAGAAAATAAATAGGTTTTAATGGGTGGTTGTAACACATTTGGTACTTTTAATTTTTTTATTATAATGCCATGCTGATCTCTTTCTACACATATTTTCATTAAAAAAAATTTGTAGTTTAGGATACATTTTTTTCTTGAGTGTTTGTATTCTTCACATTTCGATACAGTGGCCCAAATGCCCTCAAAAATACTTTTATGAAAAGTAGCAACACAAAATATTCATAGAAATTGTGTATAATGTGTTAAGTAATTCATTAGCAACTGAAAGTAAAAACCTTCATTTCTTATGAAACTCTAACTCTATATATAGCTTTTTTATATTTTTTAAGTATGTCTGTGAAATGATGTTCTTACCCACTTTTGATATTCCATTTTCATATTTGGTGCGTTCCAGCATGTGATAAACTATTCTGCTTCGAGTAGCATTGCTGAAGAAGGTGTCCTTATTGTTTATTATGAAGCTGTTAAGATGAAGGGATTTGCTTTAATATATTCAGAGCAGATCACAAAAATCTAGTCAGAATTATAAGTCCCTGGGTAACCACCCATCTGTCTCTATAATTAAAGACAATGCATGTAAAATATTCTAGGATGAGAGAGAAGTAAGTCCTCCTCTTTGACAAAAATAAACTGACAGTTAAAAATAAGTACTTATAGAAAATGCAGAGACGATCAAATGTTCTTTTCAGCATCTTCATTCAGCTTGTAAAGAATCCTCAGTATTCTCTTAGGTCTTGTTTATCATAGAGTAAGAAGAAATTAACCATTTGCTGGCTGGTGTTTGTACTTACACCTCAAACAATGTGCTCCAGATAGACTTCATTAAAAATTGAAATTATCTCCCATGCAACACATTCCATTCTATCTTACCCAGCTTTCAGAGTTTAGTGATGTCCTATAATTTTGTTTTTTCTTCTATATCCTTGATACCCTAAAATGCTCCTTTGTGGAAAGAATAGCAAGGAGTCCTTTGATGTGGATGATATGGAAAGCAAAGGGGGCCTCACAAGGAAATGATGAATCTGTTTAAATGTTTTCTTTCTAAATCTAAATCTTTCTAAGTCTTCAAGCAGTGGAATTAACTGGATCTTACTGGACTGGTGATACTTCCTGCTTCTATGCACTTTATCTCTGTGAATAACGAACCATAATTCTGTCGGACATTTCATCCGGGGTATTAATTATTCTATCCCTTACTTCCTCCTCATCCTTCTCACATATCCAAAGAGTTACCAAGCTAAGTAACTTTCCTGTTGAACCACTGCCTCCATGGCACTGCTACCCTTTTCCTGTGTGTCCTTGCTCCTGGTCTAGACTGTGAGACTATTGTCTTCTTAACATGTTTTACCCAGCCTTGTTTATTTCAATCAGTACAGCAAGTAGTTCTTAGGCAGGTAGTATTAGTTTTGCAGGAGGTTGTATTATGGGGGAATTAAGCAGGTGACATAATCAACAAGTGAATAAATAAATAAATCCCGACTGGTTTCTGTGGTGAACATGTAATAGTGTAACAATGTAGTGAGTGACCGGGGGAAGGGACAATAGCAAGAATTTTATGATGATTTTTCCTTAGATACTTAATAGAGGCAAACTGGTGGGAAGAAAAATACCCTGCAAAGCTCAGGGCCAGGATAGCCCAGATGAAGTGAAAAGTGGTAAAGATTCAGCTTGAGTTTCACTAGACCTGCTGAGTGAGTTTTGTGAGGTTGCACTGTTAATGGTAGGATGCCTGAAGGAGGCAGAGTGAGAGGGGTCCACAGGCACCACAGCAGGGCAGCCTACACTAAAAATAATTAAAACTTGAATTGTATGAGTACAAATGGGATGCTAGTTGGGAGGTATAAACCAGATGTTTCATGGTATCAGTGTTCTTCAAAGACTGAGCTGGGTCCTCGAGTTTTCAAAGGACGAGAAGAACATTTTGAGAAGTAGAAACTCTAACTGATTTTTGGCTGTGGTATAGATTGGTTCTATAATTCTTTCAACTACTATATCTCAGAATAAATTTCATCCAGACATCTAGAATGCCATCTGTCCACAGGCTTGGTCCTATTCTAAATTGCATATTTTACTACAATATTTTGTAAATATTCTATATTTCTCTATCTCCATGTTTGCCTTATTTTATTTAGCTTTAGAATTCCATTCTTGCCTATGGTATTCGACTAGGAGGATCATGAAGCAGAACATATGCCATAACGAACCTTATAATTCAATTAATGCCCTTCAGTCACTCAATAAATTCCAGTAGAGTGAAAGCATGGACAAATAAATAGATATGAAAGAAGTAAGAAGAAACAAATAGGTTTGACACAGAGGGAAAGAGAAAGCCAAGAAAGTTAGAGTGACATAGCCTTCTCTAATGAAATTCTCAATATTAAACAAAACCACTTAAATAGTAAATGTATTTTAAAGTAAAATTATAGTTCCAATAATTCATTAACTAATATTAGTGTTAGGAACAATCCTATTATTATTACCATTATTATTTTAAATGACTTATCTTCTATCATATAATTTTTAAAAGAATATTTTACAGTGCATATGTTTTCTTGCATGCATGTATCTATACCACACATGTGCCTGGTACCTGAAGAAGCCAGTGGTGTTGTTGAATCCTTTGTAACTGGAGTCACAGGCAGTTCTAAGCCACCATGTGTGCGCTGTGGATCACCTGTAACTGGAGTTACAGGTGTGAGCCTCCACATGAGTGCCAGAAACTCCTCTATGAGTGTACCAGTGTTTGAATGTCTGAGCCATCTCTGCAGCCCACATAGTTATTACTTCAAAGGAATATCTAGGTTACCAGCCTATATATTAGCATTTAATTATTACTTGACTATCTCTGAATCATGAAATTAATATAGAAGTAAATGCTCATATAGTGTTGTTCCTAAGTTAAATATAAACTCTAATACACTGATACATTCTTGACCTAGTTGGTGACCAATGGGAATATCCTCAGTTATTTTTCTTCTGTAACCCAACTGGGGGTAAGGGAAATTACAATGCCAGGACACAAGGAAGAAGAGATGAGCACTCACTGGTGAATCCGTGCTCTGCTGAAAGGGCCGGTGTAGCAGTCCGACTCCTCCAACTCTGGGAACGCCGACTTGTCTAGAACCATTGGGTTTTGGGACACCCACTTTTTGATTCTTTTGAAATAGTTTTGCACCCTAGAACAAAGTTAAATTCCAGAACTAGATACGGTTATTTTCAAGAGCCATGATAGAGGATAGTTTCCTGTGACAGTTTTTTTAAGTATTAGCGAAAAAAGATTCCAGACACTCCCCCCTCTCTTTCCTATGTCTCTTTCTCACTCTTCCCCCCCCCTCTCTCTCTCTCTCTCACACACACACACACGTACACACATACACCTATACCTACATCACACACATACACATTATCCACACATATGTACTCAAATATTCACACATACACTTTTCTATTTTCTTACGGAATAAATAGTAAAAAAAAGTCCTGATTTATTTAGACATGTCAGAGAAATAATATCTCCATAGAAAATACCTTGCATGAAGATGGCTTAAGGAAGGAACATTTTAAAAGGCAGCACAATATATTTTTACATAATGTATAGGCAAATGTAAATTACTCTCTGGTTCTTTAAAAAAGTGTGAAAAATTTCATGTAAATGAATAGTATATTTGTATTTTAATTGGAATAATTCCCATCATTTTCCTTTACAAACTTAAAAAAAAATAAAGCCAACAAAAGACTGACCTTCAGCATTGATTCTGAAAATCTAAATTCTGTTACTATAACAACAGCTGTTTTCATTTAAAAACACTATGCAGTTAATGTCTCCACAGTGCTCATGGTATGCTGCTGAAATACAGAAGTCAAAATAGCAGGACAGAATATCTCTAGATGCAAATGCAGTGTGTCTTAATGTGGATTTGCTAGGTTTTTGGACTTAAGAAAAAAAAATTAAGAAAGCAATGGGCAGATATCAAATACTGTATCTTAAGAATTAGTTCATACAAGTTTATTATTACTATGAAATTACCATGAGGAATTTTAAATAGGAATTAAGTCCTGTTGAAAAGCTTAGTATATGAAAATCTTGATTATTTCTTGCCAAGTAAGATCAGTGGGATGAAGGCCATTTTAGTTTTGGAGGAACTAATTTTTTTTAAATCTAAACTAACAAGCACATTTTGAGGTGTTCAGTTCTTTGATTTCATTATAAACAAAGCCCCTGAATTAATAGAATATCACTGCATTCATGGGATACAATGCTTTGTTGATGTTGCACAGGGTTGTTTTTGCCAATTAATTTATTGTTTTGTAATGGATATAAAAACAGCTATCAATATGATGTTTCGTTGTTGAGCATTCCTTAAGTGGAAATTAATTTCTTCTATTTAAGTAGAGTTAAAGTTGTTTAGACAGAAGTGTTTCTCTGTCTCCAAGCTGGAGTCTTTTTCCATAGCCGCTATGAGCACAGAGGATGATAGACAAATATTTAAAGTGAACCTCCTGAAAAGAAATTTTCATACATGTATAATGAAAGCAGGTTAGAGTGATACAGGAAAAGTAGTCCTGCCATGCAAAAGATGCCAGATGTCCTGGAAACACCTTCTGGAAGCTAGTGTCTACACAATTGTCAGTCAGGGAGACTGAATTCATAGTCTAGTGGGTTATAATTTACCTAGTGAATCCAATTTTATAATCATTTTAAAATTTCTTAAGATGATAACTTAAAGTTTAAGTGTCCCTCCCATACCATTACATCTTGGGGGCACTCCTAGAGTGGCCATTGAAAATAATAATATAGAAACTATTTTAGTTCAGGGCACTCAAAACTTAAGTCCAAATGGATCAAAGACCTCAACATAAACCCAGCCATATAGAACCTCTTAGAAGAGAATTGGGAGGTACCCTTGAACAAATTGGTACAGGAGACTGCTTCCTGAACATACTGACTACACTGACATAGACAATTAATAAATGGAACTTCCTAAAAGTGAGAAGATTTTGTAAGGCAAAGGACAGATTCAACAAAACAGCAGCCCACAGAATGGGGAAAGTACGTCACCAACCCCACATCTGACAGAGGGCAGATCTCCAAAATATACAAAGGACTCAAGAAGCTAGTTACCAAAACACCAAATAACCCCATTAAAAGTGGGGTACAGAACTGAAGAGAATTCTCAATGGAGGAATATAAAATGGCTGAAAAAACTTTAAAAGTGCTCAACATCCTTAGCCATTAGAGAAATGCAAATCAAAACAACTCTGAGATACTATCTTACTTCTGTCAGAATGTCTAAAATAAAAAGCACCAAAGACAGTTTATGCTGGAGAGGATGCAGAGAAAGGGGTACACTCATTCAGTGTTAGTGGGAGTGCAAACGTGTGCAGGCACCTTGGAAAACAGTATGGTGGTTCCTCTGGAAAATGGAAATTAGTCAACTTCAAGATTCAGTAATTCCATTCTTAGGAATATACCCGAAAGATGCACATTCATATAAGAAGGACATCTGTTCAACTATGTTCATAGCAGCATTATTTGTAATAGTCAGAACCTGGAAGTAACCTAAATGCCCTTCAACTGAAGAATGGATGGAGAAAATGTGGTACATTTGCAAAGTGGAGTACTACTCTGATGGGAGATGTCATTCTATAAATATGTTTCTCATACTGGTTAATGAATAAAGCACTGTTGGCCAATAGGAAAGCAAGACAGGTGGGACTAGGAGGAAAGAGGAAGTTGTAAAGAGGAGCCAACATGGAGAAACTTGGGAGAGCACAATGACAGCCCATTCCCCGGTAAGATGAAACCAGGTGGAAATACTTAGATTAACAGAAATGGGTTAATAATTAAGACAGGGCTAGCAGATAAGAAACTAGTACCTGGCCAACAGCATTATATCAAATACAGCATCTCTATGCATTATTTGGGGCTGGTGTGGCAGCAGGACAAGACCTACTCCTTACACTACTCAGTAGAAAAACACAATGAAATCCTGAAACTTGCAGGGAAAAGAATGGAATTAGAAGAAACCATCCTGAGTGAGATAACCCAGTCACAAAAAGACAAACAGTATATACTCAAAGCAAAGGACTATCAGCCTACATTTATCACCATCAGAAAAGCTAGGAAACAAGGAGGACAGTAAAAGAGACATACATGGTCCCTCAGAGAAGGAGAAAGGGACACATCTCTTGAGCAAATTGAGAGCATGGAGGGAGGGGAGAGGGAGTTAGGAGAAAGAGAAGGGAGAAGAGGAGGGGGGAGGTGGGCATGAAGGAACAGGAAGATTGAGACAGGAAAAGAATAGAGGAGAACAAGAAAAGAGATACAATAATAGAGGCAAATTTAAGGAGAAATCTGGCACTAGGGAAATGTCCAGAGATCTACAAGGATTAACGCAACTAACAATCTAAACAATAGTGCAGAGACTACCTTTAATGCCTTTCAACAATAATAAGATTGATGACTACCTTATATGCCATCCCCGAGCCTTCATCTAGTAGCTGATAGAAGCAGAAGCAGACACCCACAGCTAAACACTGAGCCGAACTCCTGGAATTCTGTTGCAAAGAGGGAGGAGTGATGGGCAAACCCACAGAATCAGCTCACCTGAACAAGGGGGAGCTCATGCACCCCAGTCTGATATCTGGACAATTGGTATAGGACTGACCCAGACACCCTGAATGTGGGTGTTAGTTAGGAGGACTGGGCATTCTATGGGGCCTCTAGTAATGGATGAGTATTTATCCCTAGTATACAATGGACTTTGGGAGCCCATCCCACATAGAGAGATACTTTCTCAGCCTAGACACATGGGGTAGGACCTAGGCCCTGCTCCAACTTGTATGACAGTCTATGAAGATTCCCCATAGAAGGCTTCACCCTCCCTGGGGAGAAGAAAGGGAATGGGCTAGGGTTTCGGGGTTCTAAGGGAGGATGGGAGGGTGAGGGAACTGGGAGTGACGTGTAAAACAACCTTGTTTCAAATTTAAATGAAAAAAGCAAAAAATAACTATTTATTTTGTGACAAGCCATATTAAAAATTGTTTCTGTGGTCCTATCACAGGGAGTGTCTGTGTGGCTATTCATGACCCATGTTGTCATCAAAAGTCACAATGATGCACAGTGTCTGCGCTGCCACTGGTAGCCATATAGCTGTTCCAAAGCCATGCCTCCACTGGAGCCATGCTGAGGTGGATAGTGATGCCCTCAGGGGGGATGATGTCATCCAGGCCTGAGTTGCTGCTGAGGGCCATGTCTGGGTCTGTGACTCTTTAGCCAGAGTCTGAGTCAATGTCTGTGGCTACAGTTATAACTGAGGGCCATGTGGTTGCCTGGGGTTTGATTAGCAGCCTGGGACCATGTTGTTGTGCAAGGGTCATGATGCATCTGGAGCCATACATACCTAAGTGGCATATACTACTATCTAGTGCCATCGTGATGTCCAGACAAGAGCTGAGGCTGGTGGCCATGTCTGGATATGTGGCTGTACTTAAACCATTATCTGAGTTGATGTCTGTGTCTCCTGTTGCCACAAGGACCATGCATATTTCCAGGGTCTAGGCTGCCACCAGTAGACGTGTTGGTGTCCAAGGGCCATGCTGCTATTGGGGCCATACAAATCTGGATGGCCTGCACTGCTGCCTGGGGTCATGGTGGCATCAAAGCCCAAGCTGCTGCCTAGGGTTATGTCAGGATCCGTGGTCTTACTGCAGCCAAGGTCTGTGTTGAAATCCATGACTTATGCTGCCACCAGATGCCAGGTAAAGACCTGGGGTCTGGGCTCAACTTGTGGTCTTTCTGGAGTCTGGGGACCCTGCTTTAGTCAGGGCCATGCAGAACTGAGTGCCTGTGTTCCCACCTGGGGCCATGGTATCATCAAGGCTTCGGCTGCTGCTGAAGTCACATGTCTGAATCTGTAGTCTTATAGCAGCCAAATTGTGTATGATGTACATGGCTCATGCTGACACATGGGTCATTCAGATTCTAGGCTCTTGCCCTGCACCTGGGGCTGTGTTGGTGTGTGAGAGCCACACTGCTGCTAGGGCTATGCCAACCTTGATGGCTTGCACCATCACTTGGAGACAATGATGATGTCTAGACACGGGCTGCTGCCAAGAACCCTGTCTGGTTCCATGGTTTTAAAGCAGCACATGTCTGCACTGAAGTTCATAGCCCAGTTTGCCAGCTAGGGCCATGTGTATACCCAGAGTCAGGTCAATTACCTGAATCCATGTTGGTTGAGGGCATGCTACAGCCAGGGTCATGCAGGTTTGAGTGGCTGAATCTGTTACTAGACCCACTGGTGAATTCCGTGTCAGAGCTGTAGCTGAAGGCCATGTCTGGGTCCATGTGCCTACTGCAGTCAGGGTCTATGTTGATGTTTGAGGTTCCTGTTACCATAGATGGCCATGTGGATGCCCAAGATGTGGGGCCAATTAGTGTCTGAGGGCCATGTTGCCGCTGGGCTATGCAGATCTGAGTTGCCTGCATTGACACCTGGGGCAAAGGTGACATCCAGACCTGGCTACTGCTGAGGGATATGTCCTACCCTGCAGCCAGGGTCTTTGTTGAAGTTCCAGGCCCATGTTGCCACCAAAGGTTACATGAAAACTTGGGGTCCAGGTCACAACCTGTGGCCTTTTTGGTGTCCGGGTCCATGCTGCCACCGTTGCTTATCTGAATGGTCTGCGCTTCTACCTAGAGTCGGGATATTGTTTAGGTGATAACTGCTGCCATGAGCCATGTCTGGGTCCAAGATCTTGTGGCACTTGGGGTCTATGTTGATGTCTGTGTCTCATGTTACCACTGGGAGCCATAGGACCTATTCATAGTGATATCAGAGGGCCATGCTGAGTCTGTACTGCTCTTCACTGACTTTGACATAGCTGACTTTGTCCCTTGATGGACATTTCAGCAAGAGAGCTGGACACTCAGACTCTGGAGAGATGGTCCCACCTCACATCAGAGAGACTCTGATGTCATGGGCTTGGGGAAGCTAGCTTCTTCTCTTGCCTGGGAGGGGGCTTGTTTTGCTTTTGGTTTTGTCTGAATGCTTGTTTATTTTGTTTTGGATTGGTCTGATTATTTTAAATGTTCTTTTAAGGGGGATACTACAGAGGTCAGGGGATGATATGTGCGGACCAGGAGGTGAATGGAATTAGGTTGTATGATGTGAAGTTCCCATAGATTCAATAAAGAAATTATGTTAAATTAAAATCTTTTTTCAAGGGAGAAGGAGAAGATAGGAGCAGGGAGGAAAACAAGAGGGATCAGGAAGACTGGGTCAGGGAAGGAATGGAAGAGAGCAAGAGAAAGCCTTGATAGTGGGAGCCAATATAGATTTAAAGAGATATTTAGCACTGGGGAAATGTTCAGAGATTCACAAAGATGACCTCAACTAAGAATCTAGGCAATGATGGAGTGGCAGATTTTGATGCCTTTCTCTTATGAGACTGATGACTACCTTAATTGCCATCCTAGAGCCTTCATCCAGTAGCCGATGGAAGCAGAAATATTAATTCACAGCTGAGCACTGAGCCATACTCCTGGAATCCAGTTACAGAGAGTAATCCAGTTACAGAGAGTCAAGACTGAGCTGGAGAAACCTACAGAAGCATCTGATCTGACCTACTGAGAGCACAAGAACCCCAGTGGTAAAGCTGGGGAACCAACATTGGTCTGAGCCTAGCCCTCTGAATGTGGGTGCCAGTTAGGAAGCCTGGGCAGTCTATGAGACCTCTAACAGTGCACAAATGAACTTTGGAAGCCCATTCCCTGTGGAGGGATACTATTTCAGCCCAGATACACAGAGGAGGGCCTAGGCCCTCCCCCAAATGATGTGACAGACTTTGATGATCTCCCATGGAGGGCCTCACTTTCCTTGAAGACATGTGGAGTGTGTATTGGGAGGTTGGTGGGAAGGAGAGGGAATAAAGGGATTGATATGTAAGATGGTTGTTTATAAATAAAAAAAATTTCAAGAAATCAACATAATTTTCTTCCTGAAATTTATAACTGAAGACATGGGTAATGATGACAAATTGGTAATAAAATTGTGATTCATTCACTAACCTGCTCATTGATTTGTTCTTCTGGTCAGTGTAGTAACATTTTTTCCTGAAAAAAAATTATAGTCATCTGAATCAAATACATTTAATCAGAAAGTGACTGTATTCAACCATAACGTGTATCAATACTCCATTTTCAAATACTTAGGAGAACAAGACAATTGAAAGTAAGCCATTATATTATAACATGAAGAGCAATAAATGTATATGCCTTTAATTTCAGAAATATGATGATAATTTAACAAAAGTATATAAGAAATATAACAAAATAACTGTAAAATGCATAGGTTATATTTTGATACCTTGTTTTTAATTATTTGAAAATCTGTTGTGTAACTCAGTATTTATTAACTGGATTATTAGTTTATATGCTACATAAAGAAATCAATCCAATCATCTACCTATCCATCTGTCATTTAAACTCATGTGTAATTGTCCTATTTGGTTCTCTGTTATCATGATAAAAACACTGAGCAAATAGTAACCTGGGGAGAAAGGGTTCATTTAATCTTGTACTTCTATGAACTATTTCATCACTGAGGGAAATTGGGTCAAGAACTCAGGGCAGGAACCCACAGGCAAGAATTAAAACAGAGGAGAATGGTAAACACTGCTTAGTGGCTTGCTTCCTCCAGCTTGCTCCTATTGCTTTCTTATACAAATCTGTAGCACCTGCCCAGTTATGACACTGCCTACATTGGGCTTGGTCCCTCACACATTAGTCATTAATCAAGAAAATAATCCACAAAAATGCCCACAGGCTGATCTGGTAGATTTTCAATGGATAATTATGAATGCAGAGGTCATGGTATTAGTGTTCAGGCCTGACATTTACAACCCTCTATCTAGGGCTCAGGGAACATCATGGAAGTGGAGTCATGAACAATGCTAAGAGTCAGATGATGGGGGGGGGAAGGCTATTAAATGCTATCTTCTGGGTCTGGGGCAGTTATTGCAATCGTGAATGTAGCTATGGTTGCATGAACTAAGTCTTCATAAGACTAAATCTGTCAACATTTACTCATAGATATGGAAAGATTGATGGGGCCCTACCCATCCCTAGGGAATTTTTGGCTATTGATTAATGCTGGAAAAGTAGCAGTTTTTGTCTTCAGTTATACACCCCTTGATGAGATTACCAGTGGATAGTTCCAGACCCATGGCCATGAATGTTGGAAAGAGATTTGTAAAAAAAAAAAAAAAAAAAAAAGAAGTGTAACACACTTGGTTTCAGAGATGCCAACTGTATATCTTCTCATTGGAGCTCAGGAATCTCATACTTTGAGCTTTTCAAAATGCCCTTTTATCTTTATCATTAAAACACACCTCAGAGGCTCAGTGAACACTGTGTTGGTATAAATTATAATTAATCATCAGTTATGAGGGAGGTATGAATGTTCAAGAAGCTCTCTGAGATGCCATATTTAATTTTAGTAACAGGTTGTGACGGTCTATCTTGCTTGTCACCTTGACAGGATCAGGAATCAATTAAGAGACAAACTCTTCTGCACTCCTGTGATGGAATTTCTTTACCAGGTTTTTAACATGGTTTGCCCCACCATAGATGTGAGTGGCCCTTTGCCTGGCAGCACAAACAAACGGAGATAAAAGAATGAAGCTTTGTTTTGTCTTCACCTCCTTGCTGGCAAGTTCATCAGTGCTGTTACTGCTGCTGCTGCTACTCTCACCATACACAGACATCAGAACCCTTCAAGCTGTGGATGTGGAATGAATACCAGTGGTTCTGCATGAATCTGGCATGCCTAAAGCACCAGATTGGGACTGCTGAGACACCCTGCCCTGTGAGCCCAGGTTCCCATCCTCTTCAGTGTGTGACAATTGTTGTTGGACCGCACAGACTGTATCATGGAAGCAAATCTAGAAAATATCCTTTACATATATTCATGACTGACTGTGTTTCTCCCAGAGTAAAACACAGGCCTTAGCCTTTGGATAGATTTTAAAATGTTCTTGCCATATTCCAACACTAAATTCAGATATAAAATTTCAAGCTTGCTTTGTCTATACTAAATTTGCATTTTTAAATATCTTTATTTTTGTCAAACATAGGCAAAAGTTTAAAAGGCATGCATATATTTGCAGTGATTTGAAATTTGCAGGCCCTGTTTCTCCTTTTTTTTTTTAATAAAGCACTAAATGTTTACTTATGTATACATTGCTATGTATGTAAGCATGTGGATGCTATGACACTCATATGGAGGTTAGAGGGATGTTCTTTCTTTCCACTAGAGGTCAGACTCAGATTCTCAGGTTCAGCATCCAGTACCTTTATCCCCTGAGCCATCTTGCTGACCCACATGTTAGGTTTTCTTTGTGGAATGTAATAGGTTTCAAAAGTAATATTTTCATTGATAATTTAGAATGAATAATTCATTCAATAATAAAAATCTTGTTTTTTAAAATGTTATGCAATTTTGCTAATTAAGATAACGATGATGATTTTACACAGTAGTCAGTTTCTGTCCTAAAGGAATTAGTTCCAATAATTTCTTAATATGTAGTACTGCATAGATATACAAAGTTATGAAAAATGGCATAGTATTTATATCTAACTTCAGACATCCTTATGTACATATAAAACCATTTCTAGATAACTTAAATACCTAAAATAATGGGGTTTTATGTAAATAATGTTTAGTTGCTTATTTCTGCACAATGACTGAGGTTGCAACTTTTGAGGCTTGAGATATTTCAGATGTCTTGAAGACATTTGCATTGGCATCCCTTCTTTATCTTGAATGATCTTGAGGCTTGTTCCATGGAATCTTCACAATTTTTTTTTAATTGACCTCAGTGTTCACTTACACTTACTAAGGCACTTTTACTTGCAATTTCATTTTCTCAGAACCTTTTACTCCTTTGTAGCATATAATGGGATCTATTGAACTCCACATTGATGCAAATACTCTTACTGTCTATTGAGTTAACACTCAGCGTAAAATATGTACACTATAAAAATTACAGTGGGACATGATGGAGGAGTTGGTACATTCTACATTGAATACCAGACATACTAGTTAGGCCAACACATTAATTTTCTCAAAAAAGGACTGAAAATTCTTGAAAGAAGGTGATCTATTTTTATTGCCTATTGATTGATATTGAGGCAAGAGCACAGAAACTGTTCTGGATGACCTGGTCTGAAAAACAATTCTTGACAACCATTATCAGTGTTATATTACTCTCACATGAAATAAGAATGAGGATTGATCTTTGGAGTTGCTTAAAGTTGAAATCTAAAAATAATTGTTAACATCTCCATGCAAGTCTGCATTGAAATGATATTACATGTTCAGGGAATCAGAAAACTTACCACATTAGTAAAACTATTTAGGTGAAAATTGCCTAATATAGCCTAAAATTTAAAAGGGAAATAATCTTCTCTGAATAAAGAACCACATTTATTGATGTTAGGTATTACAAAAGATGGTGCCATCCTAATAATATCGAGAGAAAATGAAATAATATCTAAAAGTACCTGAAAGGCACCCTGATGTTCAATCTCTCTGCATACTTGCACAGTGTGTCCCATGGAATATGAATTTTGATAAACATGATATCAGGGTTTGCAACAGCTGGCTGAAAAGGAATAATAGAGAAGTACCATTATTTACCATCAGAACTGATGACATTCTGCCATAACATTTCTTTCAAAGAAAGAAGCATTCTTTCCGTGCTTATGCAAGGGTCATTCTTACTTACATAAAGGAAAATTATATTCTCAAAAACTCTTGCTAAAAAGTATTTAAAATATTAGCTGCCATTAAGAAATGTAATGTGTATACTTTTACATAAACATCCTAAATACAAAAGTGTCCATAAGTAGTTTGTAGGGAAATATCTTCAGTTGGTTAGAAACCCCGGTGGGCTTCCATAAAGAAAGCTCTTCATTACAAACGTGGCCTGTGGTAACACAAAGTCAGAATACTCACACAGAACATGATGACTCCCCTGGAAAGAAACTTGTGAGGCATGACTAGGCATTGTGTTTATCTCTGCCTATATAAAAGAACCTTATTGCTTACACTTCTCGTCATCAAATCAACAATAAGTTTCTCTTTTCACTCCCCTCTACATATGCTCCCAGTCATAGTTGCTTATCAAGTACAAGGATTGGTAAGCCCTAGCTCAGTTACTGTAGGAAATAGACATTGCTGTCATTACTTATTTTTTTTTATGTTGATCACTATTAAAAAGTAGATTTCCCATTCAGAGAAGTTATAAGACAACTAAGAGTCTCAAGTTATTCTTTGTGTCAGATTATTAAGACCCTCATTTTCACTCAGAGAGTGCATAAAACACTAAAAATTATTGAAAGAAGTCTCTAACTAATTAATCTATTAATTCTACTGGCACACTTTTAAAGTAAAGTAACTTTTTGCTGGGTTCAGTGATTTTATTCTGGGGAAACTGAGGTGTTTAAATGATAAGATGCCTTTGGCACAATGGACTGTGAGATTTATAAGCTTAATGAAGGAATAGAATTCAGCAAATTACCACAGGAAAAACAATGAAAGACACTTTCATGCCAGCATAATTTCTGAAGCACCCTTTCTGCTTAAAATGTTTGTTTCTATTTAAAGGTAAAATATTGTGAAAATTATAATCGACCATGCCACAGGTAGACATAGTATGTTAAGTTTTTGTAGATCCTTAAATTTAGTCCAACATTAAATATTTTACCTATGCTTGGGAAAATGTCTATAAATCTTGTTATTTTTTGAGAATTTCATGCATTTATAAAATGTCTAACACTTGTTTCCTCACCAAACTTTTATGGCACCCCTCTCCTCTCAAATTCATGGCCTTTTCTCTTATTTAATTATGATAATTACACACACACACACACACACACACCTGTGAATCTATTAGTGTTGATAACTAATTTTACAAGCACTGCTTATTCATTCAAAAAACTACTTAATTATATTTATAATCCACAGATACCTTGTCATTGATCAAGATAAAAGAGAAGGTTGTAATGATAATATTGCCAGGCTCTTTGTAATGACTCTTCTAGACTTAATGGAAAGGTTTCTATGTAAGTATGACAGGAATAATAAAAACTTTTGCAGCTAGATCTCCCATAGAAATAATGAGAGCACGGTTAGCATGTTCCAGATCTGTATTTGAACCTCAGAACCACTCTGATTCTGATTATTTTGCCTGAGAAATGAAGGGTGTTTGTCTCTGAGTTGAAGGAGGGAATATACAGTGTAACTATATGAAGTGCCTATTCCTGACTGGGTCTGGTTGTCAGATGACAGTATTCATCTCAAATCAGATGGTGTTTAAAACAAAGGTGAATTATAAAATATTCTGTGGTTCATGTCTTGTTTGCTCCTCTGTTTCCTTTGTGATCGACCTTGTATCTTGGTGTTAATACCTTTGACTCTAGGATATGTGGACAATTTACTATTTGTAAACAAAGGCAAAATGAAAAATGAAAAGCAAAAAAAAAAAATCCAAAACAAAACAGAAACAAAAATAAAAAACTACACCAAGGCCTCTAATGTACTGTGTGACTTGAATCAAGATGTCGTCATCCCAACAGCTAAGTATTTTTCTCTGGTATTGTACGTTGAATATAAACTATAAAAATTAAAATATATTCATATAAATGTTAAGTTTGGAGAAGAGATTTACCTTAATTCACAGCCACTATTTAAAAATGGTCCTATCCATAGACAGTCTACCACTGCTGTCTCATTCATACCACTTTCATTACTCACTCATACTTCCTATCTTTGTCCCATGTCACTTTCTTCCCATTCCTTTAGTGGTCTCCCTTCTATTGTGTGCTACAAGAGAAGACATGGCATGTATATCTATGCATTTAATTCTGTGTATTATTCACTGATAACGCACTGAAAGGATGAATGAGGTAACTTTCATTTTATTTACTACTGCCATTATCATTATTTTGTTATTATTAATATGCCCCATTATTTTCAGATATAATCTTACTAGGTAGTGTGAATTTGTTTGGAACTGTTTGTGTATACTCAGCAGAGATTTCTGAGAACTGAGACTCAAAATAATTTAGCCTGGTGAGCTGAATTATTTTGAGTCTACATTTTGCCTAACATACCTGAACAAGAAATATGAAAGCGGGAAGTGCAAAGAGTCTGACTTTCTGTGGTGGGGCATTATGTCAGGATCCAAAATAGCACTGAGAACAGCTTGCCTCTTGCAGGTCCTTAATTTATCGCCATCAAGCTCGTGATATAAAATAATCTAATCATCAAAAATAAGGAGCTGCTTTGGAAGGAGGGGTTTTGCATTGCTGTAACTATCATCACTGAGTAACTCGTCAGGCTAAGTGCACACAGCTAGAATGTGGCTAGAATGTGTCTCATTTCCTTGCCTTAGCTTTCAATGCATACATACTGAAAGATCATTTTAAGCAAGATGAACTGATGCTTTTTATAACTTCTCAACTCAATTTCTCTTTTGTTTTGCCACCACTTGAAAACACAGGACAGCTGGTTTCGTTCTTGGCAGGTACCAGGTGAGGTGATGCTATTGGTGACAGGATGGTGCTGTCAGGGAGAAAGATCACCTTCCATTTTAGAAGCACAAGCTGGCAATCGGGGTCTATTCAGCTCACCTCTACTAAAAGCAAGCTTCTCAGAGGAACAAAACACCCACAACCTTCACACTTCTCATTATTATTTAATTATTCCACCCAAAATTACCAAGGGGAAGAACATTTACTCCCAGGTAAAGAGGGAGCTTAAAAATTATATTTTGCATTACTGGGATACAGAACAAAGAAAAGAATACGTGGTCTCTTAAGGCATTTTCCATGTCTAGGAGTAAGGCAAATGCTGCTATGAATTAGATTCCAAGACACAAATCTCACAGTCAAATTCTGTACACAAAGATGGCCCTCAAATACAGACACAGTCACAAATTCTGTACACAAAGATGGCCCTCAAATACACACTATCTCCTGGTGATGCTTTCCTCTAGAAACTGTTCATATTGTCATGCAATTTAATAACCATCTGAGATTTCTGCTAGAGTCAGGGTTTTGCTCTGAGGAATATCCATTTATAAAACAAAGACAGATTTTCTAACTGCCACATTTTAACTATCATATTCATGCCTTGCACATTTTCACAAAACTGTTTATCCTTCTATCAAGGACAAGCCCTAAATATGTTCAACCCAGTTATTTATCAAATAAAATCGCACCCACCATCCATAACATTCAATAGGAGAAGCTTTGAATGCTAATTAATGTTTTAAATAGTCATAATGCTGAAAAAATTAGGGGTGAGTGCTGGTCACTGAACTAACATCCTTGAACACTCCAAGCATGTAAGGGCTCTACCACTGATCTATTTCTCTAACCTTGAAACACTGGACTTGATATTTCAGAGAGCTATGAGTATTTTCACATCAATGACTCTTGACATTTTATTTAAAAATATACTAAGGTTATATTCTATCATATAAGCCTCTTGCTTAGCAGGAGAATGCAAAAAGCTGTTTGTTTGTTTTAATATTAGTGATGAGGACAGGGCTCTCATAATCTCTATTCTTTACTGTATTTGCCCATTGTAATCTGTGGGACAAGTGAATGTGTATATGACACTCCACAACTATATTATTATGTTATGTGCTTCATTTGATATCTTTAAAAAGAGGGCAGATTATTCTCCATGGGTTATGAGTCCATAAGAGGGATTAATCTCTTCCTGCCAAGACAGACTGCAAATAGCATTAGGAAGCAGGTAAAATACTTCAGTGGAGTTTGCAGAGTAGATTTGTAGCAATGAAGATGCCCTCTAAAGCCTGAAAGTTAGTAAAGGCACCCAGTCCTCAGGAACTGAAGTTGTGTCACAACCTTGAAAGCTTCAGAGAGTTCCAAGGTCCAGGCACAAAACATCCTGGACATACCCTGATTTATGGTGATTTATGTTCTGTAGACAAACTGAGCAAACAACTCAACCCTTTCATATCCAACTTCTCAACTGGAAAATTCTGAGTAAACAAAATGGGTTTTATTTTAAAATGTCAAATTTTTGATAATTTGTTAATCATCGTTAGAAGACTAAAACAAAGAATTTCAAGAAGTCTTGATTATTTTGAATCAATATATATGCTTTATGACATAATACCAGAATGCTTGTTTTAGACAAATATTTCTGTTTATTCATAATCTATTTATCATAACAGATTTATTTATACATGAAACCATAAATAATAAATAAACCCCTAGTAAAATAAATATAAAAACTTTTATCATTACTAAAATTAGGATCATGAGTCCTTTGTGAAAATACCTATAACAGGTAAAATAATTTTTTTGTAAAATTAAATTTAAAATAAAAGTGAGGGGGCTGACAAGATGATCAGTGGGTAAATGTGCTCATGGCCAAGCCTGATGACATGAGTTTCTTCCCTGGGTTCATATATTAGAAAGAGATAAGATATTTCTGCAATTTCCCTTTGAGCTCTTCATGTGTGGAGGTAGATAATTGTGGTGCACACCCCCACACAGAGGCATAACTAAACGTATACATAATAAACAGATAAGAGCAATAAAAATATATAACTTAAGGATATTGTGCTTCCTGGATATTGTATAATCTTTGCCTTTACTCTTTCCTAAAGTCATTTCTTAAATTATTATTTTGGAAACTTTAATAATCATACCATTTTCCTTGTTTCCCTGGTGCCTCTTTTTCTTCTTGTCTCCTTTCTCTGATTTCTTTCTTTCCATTCCCTTCCTCTATGGTTTCATTCCCCTTACTTATAGCCATTAAGACATCCTATCTCAAAAAGAAATAAGTAAAAAGGTGAAAGGAAACAGGGACAGCAATCTCAATGGAGTACCCTCCGCCCCTGGTGTTTTTTTTTTCACCTCCCACACAGGCAATCACTAGGTGAGTGACCTGGGCTTATTTTCCAAGATCTACTCTGGCTAGTCTGCTTCATCATAGACTGCTTGCTAGCAAAGAGTGTACATCTATCTTCTCAGAGAAGTCATGCTTACTGCTTTCCCTAAAGACCTCCATATCCTCCAATGCACAAATCTCTTTCTGATCTTGAACTTCCCCACAGTGTGTTTTCCTATGACCAGATCTTCCATGAGACACTTGAGTTTACCCCAGATGATGTCTGTTCTCTTCTCCCATCATTCTGTAGGACTATTTCTTTTCTTTATATTCATTTTTATTATCCCTACTACCCCCTTTTCAGGACATAGTTGATGCTATCATTAGTATTTTAGGTCCTTGAAGACAGATTGTAACTCCTGAGGTGCCTGCCTTTGTTGACTGTGCAACTACTAGATTTCTCAGCCTCTCTAGTTTGCAAATAGCCATTTTTGGATTATTAACTGTGTAAGCCAATCTAATAAGTACATTCTATAATATGTACTCATTCCAGTTTGGTTCTCTAGAGAACACCAACTAATGGAGACTCCTTTTCAGTCAATTTATTTTCTTTCAGTTTATACATAGCACAAATTCAGTCACATTCCTTATATAACATCACCATCACCTTGTTTGAATCATTGTATGAGCATGAAAGTTCATAATAAAAATCTTTTATGTGTAGCTAATATCTAGTAAGACAACTAACACATCCCCTCTCTATATTCTGTCTCCTTTCATCTTCATATTTCTTTGCTCCCCACCCTGGTTTTTCTCCTCTTTTGGAAATACAAGCAGAGTTTCTTATTGTTATCCAGATCAAATTTAAATAGGCATTAACAGAGAGAAACATATAAAAACATTCACCTTAGCTTTAACACTAGTAATATGAATTCTGGAGGAATGGTTTGCCCCTAATAATTTTCACTATCACTATCATCTTCAACAACCTTGTGACAGGGGACACTAGAGAGGAACCAATAGTAATGGTGCAACAGTTATAGTGTGCAGAGGTAGCAGGTCCAAAGATAGAGACAATTAGTTTATTTCACCCACTGACCCAGCTTTTCTAGCTCTTTAATGTGTGAATTCAGCCTTAGAAAAGTTAGAGTGACTTGAGAAAACGATAATTATGCAACCTAGAATGGAATAGTAGGAATGATAGGAATCAGAGGGCTCAATCTTGCTGTGTGCCAATCTAAACAGATACACTGAGAATAAAGAAACATCCCTTTTTTTTTTTTTATTATTTTACATGTTGATCCCAGTTCCCTCTCCCTCCCTCCCTCCCTCCCCCCAAGCCCTCCCTCCCTCCTTCCCTCCCTTTTGCCCTCTCTACCCTCTCCCATGCACTCTAAACACCCTCCCCTCCCAACCCCCCACCACAATACAATATGTAGGGGAATGCCATCCAGTTGGGGTCATGTAGATCTGACAGGTCCTGTGAAGTAGGGACTAGGGCTTCTCTCCTATCTCTAGAATAAGGCAGTTATCCCTCCATGGGGGATATGTTTGCAAAGTCCTTTTGTGCACCAGGGATACATCCTGGCTCCACTGTCTGAGGTCTCTTAGACTGCTCAGACCTTCTGGCTGAGACCCATATTCAGGGGGGTCCGAGTCAGACCCCTGTTGGCTTCCCAGCTATCAGTCTAGTGGCCCTTAGCTCCTCCTTGTTCAGGTAAGCTGTCTCTATGTACTTCTACCGCATGGTCTTGTCCTCTCCATCTGCTTCTGGGTTCTAGTTTGACTCAGTGTTTATGTATGGGTGTTTGCTCCTGTTTTCAACAGGAAACATCCCTTTTTTAATGCACCATTAAATATTTTTCTTTGTAGTATTCAGAGGAATAAAGAAGAAACCCAGCAAATCTGACCTTTTGTCAACAAGACTCCCATATAGTAGAGAGAAGCATTGGTCACATCTGCTATGATACCTAGTGTGTATGTCTGGTCTCTCTATAGGCGAGTATAAATCAGTGCACACAGTGATTTGGCCACTTTAAATATTGGGCTCCCTAGAAACTCGCTCAGTGTTAGTAAAAATCAATTTGTGAAGTAATGGGGGAAGATATGTGAGCAGGATGACTGCCAGAGTACAACAGAACCTGGGTATGCACTGCTCCGGTGCAGTTAGGAAGCATTTGCTCTCACTTGTGTGCAGTAGAAAGCACAGGGAAATCAAATGAATAGGTACACTCTATTTTTTTTCAATAAATATCTTTTGATATGCTTAATAACCAGGGGTAGAATCCAAGGAAAAGCAAAACAAAATTGGAAAAAAGGTTAAAATCAGAGTTTCATTTCCCCATTCTGTGTCATTTGGCAGTAAACAATACAGTTTTACTCATTGCTAACTCATTGTATTTCTATTTTGTACATATTTAGCCAGGTGGTGGTGGCAAATGCCCTTAGTGCCAGCTCTTGGGAGGCAAAGATAGGTGGGTCTCAGTGAGTTCCAGGCCAGCCTGGTCTACAAAGGAAGTTCCAGGACAGCCAGTTACACAGAGAAACCATCTTGGAAAACCAAAAACCAAAACCCAAAACCAAAAACCAAGAAAAAAAAAATTGAATTAGTACAATTAAAATCAGTTGTTTTAGGGACACATTGGATAATAGTTTAGTACTCCTTAATATGTATTACTCTAAAATTTAATTATAAGACAGGTTTGAGAATGAAAAATTAAAGGGATGACTAAACTCCTATTTTTGATATTCTGCAGAGTCAAAGAGCTGAGTTGGTTGCAGTAATTTGTTTATGTGCATAAAACACACCGAGAGGCAGCTAGCAGGAAACCAGCTGATAGGAAGTTCTGAAAAAGAAAAAGAGATTTATTTGGCTAGCAATGTGAACCTTGGCTTTTTATTTGTTTATTATTTATTTTAAATTAATGGTTTGTCTTTCTCTAATGTGATAAAATGTGATTTAGGAAAGAAACCCCAAGTAGTTATCAAATACCAAGTGGCAGCACTAAGATCATATGTATGTATACGTGTGTGTGTGTGTGTGTGTGTGTGTGTGTGTGTGTGTGTGTGTCTGTATAGGTTGCATTTATATATATATAGCAATGTGTGTTTGTATAACAGCAATTAAAGAAAAAGAGGCCATAGATCTGACACAGTGCAAGGGATGAATAAAGGGGGGTGCCTGGAGGGAAGAAAGAGAAGGGGGGATATCATGTGATATATTATAATTTCAAAAAATAAAAAAAATAGTAAAGAGAGAGTAATGGTGCAATTCAATTTAAGGATGAAAACTTAGCCTAAAAATACTGCTGTCTCTGATACCTGCTTTCAAAGATTTTGAAAGCTCAAACAATTGTGTTTTAATTGCTATTTTAAGATCTCACAGTGCTTTTCATGTGCCTATTTCAAAATTGTTTAGCTTTAGCTAGAGAGATGCCTCAGTGATTAAGAAAAGTTTTTGCTGTTTTGAAGGACCAGAGTTCCATTTCCAGCACCAATGTTCAGTGGCTTACCACTGCTGTGATTCCAGCCCCAAGGAATCCAATGCTCCTGACATCCAAGAACCCCTGCACTCGTGTGTACATACTCAAACACTAGTACTCATAGTAAAAACTCAATTGTATAGATGTTTAAAAAACAAATTAAACTATAGAGTATTCAACTAAAATAAAATTGGTAATTTTAGCATCTTAGAACTATGAAGAGTGTGTTTTTCTTTTTTGTATGTTTCCAGAGGCTTTGATCCTTTTATTGTTTTAATAGAAGGAAGGAAATAGTACTTTAAAGAGACTTATATAAACACAAAAGAAAGAGGATGGTGAGGGACAGTGCCCATATTTCTAGCAGTCAAATTTGTACTTCAGCAGTCTGACAAACACTTTCAACACTTTAGTTTTCCTAACATGGGGTTTCATACTTTGTATAGGTATAATCATTATGTATTCAGTTTTCAAAATTGTACAAGTAGCCATACCCTTTGAAAAATTTTTAAAAAAATATTTACAATGTACAGAAACACATAGAAGAAAAAGTAAATACATATTGAAATGGAACAGTACATATGTATTAAAAAACACTTGGGAAAATGAGTACATTTTATAAAGTTCCATGGAATGGATCATATATGCTACAATACAATAGTATCTATCCCAGATATTAGTTCAAAAAAACATATAATAGAAAAGCATTTACCTCCTTCTCCAACATCAAGCCTTCTGCTCTCAGGTTCTTTTCAAATGTATTTCTTTTGTCATATTGTATATTTGTCTTCCGATAAACCAGGATATAATCAATTCGCTTTTTGCCATCTTTAAATAAGAGTCCACTGGATGCTATGTAATTCATGTCATTCTGTTAAAGAAAAAAAGCTATTAGTGCATGTTAGATAAACATGCTTGCTAGTTATAGGCACTAACAAACTGATACCAAAAACAAAATATGTGATTCAGACTCCTACTGAAAACCATGAGAAGATAATTCAAGCTAGTCTGCAATTTACAATGGAAGACAGGCTAGCCTTGTAATTAGGTTTGTGATTTGATGGCTGGTCCTTGAATTGGTGTATGTTTTATTTAATAAGTCTCCGTAAAAAATGCAGCTAGTTTATCTTCCATGCTGACTAAACCGTGTACAGATATAATTATTTTCCTACTTCATCTTGTTTATTCACAACTTACATTTCAAAGATAAAGACACCAAGGCTGAAAGTAATGAAACCAGCACCACATCTTGTGTTATTTTAGACTTACACAAATCTCTGCTTTTCTAAAGTGTTGTTCAATAATGCTGAGACCATACAATAATTCCTGCACTGCAATCTCTGGGAAATGTTTATGCTTAGGATATGTCTGTGAAGTGGTAGAAATAGTGCACCAATTCTAACTCATAGCTAACTCATCAAGACTGGGTAAAGATGTGAGGAGCTGGTTCAAATTGTAAAAAAGTTTACTAAGAAAGCCCCAGAAGCTGAGTGTGAATCTTCACCATCCATGTAAAAGCCAGGCACAGAAATACATCCATCCAGACCAGAGAATCTTCTGACTCTCAAGGGCCAGCTAGCTTGGCTAATGAATCAGCAAAGACAGTCTTTTTCAAACAAGGTGGTATTCTGTAGCACTCACATGCACTCCCTAAACCTACAAAGCAGTTTGAAGGATTTCATATTGCTGTTGCCAATATCAGAAGCTATTTTCATAAACTGGAAGATTTTCAGCTAGTCATTTTCCTTTAAGGATTTATCCTAAAATAACTTAGTCATGTTGAGATTCATCTTTTGTAGTACAGCTGGAGGCTATGTGGATGTTCATAGTCCTTGCTGCTACCTGAGACCATGTTGATGTCCATAATTTATGCTGAGGCATGTTGATATCCTTGGACCCTGCCGTGGCCAGAGACCATGATCAAGTCCATGATCCATGCTGTAAGTAGGAACGATATTGAGGTTCATCTTTTGTGGTGCATCAAGAGGCCATGTGGATGCCTGTGGTCCATGTAGCCATGGGAAACCATGTGAAATTCCATGATCTATGCTGTCATATGTTATGGGCATGGAAGTTTCTATTGCAATATTATCAATGACTCCAGACTCATAGTTGAAAATGAGACACATTGAGACTAGAAAGGAAGCCTCTGAAAAAACCAGGTACAAGTGAAACTCCCACAAATCTTCATGGATGACCCCAGATAAGATTTCTAGCAATATCAGATAGGTAGTCTCAACTGGCCATCTCCTGTAATCATATTGGTGACTATAGAGGAAAGTTTCTGCTCACCTTGTACTACAGTCATTCAGTCTCAAATAAACACACAGAAGCTTATATTAATTATAAAATATTTGGCTTATGGCTCAGGTTTCTTATTGGCTAGCTCCTTCTTAATTATTAACTCATTTCTATTAATCTGTGTATCTCCATATAGTCTTGGCTTACTGGTGATTTACAGGTTCTTTCTTCCTCAGCAGCTACATGGCATTTTCTTAACTCTACCAACTACCTTTCCCTATCCCTGTTTGGATTTTCTTTTGGGCTAAATTCTGCCTGTCCAGGCTGGGGAATCCCACAGAAGCAGCTGTCCTGAACAAGGAGGAGCTCAAGGACCCCAGACTGACATCTGGGAAACCAGCATAGGATCAAACAAGGTCCCCTGAATGTGGATGTCAGTTTGGAGGCCTTTGCAATCAATGGGACCCCCTGGTAGTTTATCAGTATTCATCCCTAGTATAGGAATCGACTTTGGGAGCCCACTCCTTATAGAGAGATAATCTCTCAGCTTAGGCCTAGGCTCTGCCCCAAATGATGTGACAGATTTTGATGATCCCCCATGGAATGTCTCACCCTCCCTGAGGAGCAAAAAGGGGATGGAATGAGGGTTCAGTGGGGGACATGAGAGTGTGGGAGAGAGAGGGAACTGGGGTTGATATGTTTCAAATTTAAATAAAAATTATCTAAAAAAAATTCCTGCCTGTCGAGACAAAAAAGTTTTATTCATCAAACAATAAAAGAAACATACATTCACAGCATACAGAAGGGCATTCCCTATCAGGTAACTACTTCAATTGTCATCAGAGACTTTCCATCCATAACTGATGGAAACAGATGCAGAGATCCATAGCCTAGCACTGGGCCAAACTCAGGGAATTCTGTTGAAGAGAGGGAGGAAGGATTGTATGAGCCAGAGGATGCTGAAATGTAGCTCATTGTATAACAAGGCTTCTGGTGGGTGGGTTTATTTGTGGGGAGGGTAGTGAAGGAGAGAAGGAGACTCTATTATCTTAAAGAGGTTGGTTACTGGGAGTTTGATCATGCTCCAATGAGTATCTGGGCAATACATATTGTTCTTGGTGTATTTTTTGGGGGGGTTTAGGGGAAGGCACAGTTGTGGGAGTAATGAAAATAAGTGTGATTGGGGTACATTGTGTAAAATTCCCAAATAATAAATAAAAGTACTATGATGAAAAATATTTAACATCCTTTAGTGCTCTGAAATGCCCCTCCAACATCCCTCCCCCTTCTTAAAACACTACTAAGACTATATGGGTTTCTCCAGACTGGTCTTGACCCCCCTTGCTCATCACTCCTCCCTCTCTGCAAATGTGTTCCAGGAGTTTGGCTCAGTGTTTAGCTGTGGGTGTCTGCTTCTGTTTCATCAGACACTAGATGAAGGATCTAGGATGGCATATATAGTATTTTTTGACAATATCTTTTATTTAAATTTACAACAAGCTTGTTTTACACGTCAATCCCACTTCCCTCACCCTCCCTACCTCCTATCTCCCCCTCCTAACCCCCAACCCATCCCATTTCTCCTCCCAAAGGAGGGTTAGGCCTCCCTTGGGGGGGTCTTCAAAGTTTGTCATATCATTTGGAGCAGGTCCTAGGCCCTCCCCCATGTTTCTAGGCTGAGAGAGTATCCCTCTATGGGGAATGGGCTCACAAGGTCTATTTGTATGCTATGGATAAATGTTGATCCACTACCAGAGGCCCTATAGACTGCCCAGTCCTCCTGACTAACACCCATATTCAGGGCTTCTAGGTCGGTCTTATGCTGGTTTTGCAGCAATCAGACTGGAGTCCATGAGCTCCCCTTTGTTCAAGTCAGCAGTTTTGTGGGTTTCTCATTCATATATGGATTTTAGACATAGAGCAAAGAATTACCAGCCTACAATCCACACTGCCAGAAAAGCTAGGGAACCAGGAGGACCCCAAGAGAAACATACATGGTTCCCCAGAGTAGGGAAAAGGGCAAGATCTCCTGAGCAAATGGGAAGCATGGGGGAGGGGAAAGGGAGAAGAGGAGAGAGGAAGGCATGAGGGAGTAGGAAAATTGAGTCAGGGAAAGAATAGAGGAGAGGAAGAAAAGAGATGCCATAATAGAGGGAGCCATTATAGGTATAAAGAGAAATTTGGCTCTAGGTAATTGTCTAGAGATCTACAAGGATGACCACAACTAACAATCTAAGCAATAGGTGTAGAGGCTACCTTAAATGCCCTTCCCTGATAATGAAATTGATGACAACCTTGTATGCCATTGTAGAGCCTTCATCCAGTCGCTGATGGAAGCAGAAGCAGACACCCACAACTAAACAAAAAACAAACAAACAAAAACAAAACAAAAACAAAAAGGTTTTGTGTTCAGTTATATGTTGGTCAATTAACCCTGAAATAAGGCCTGTCCTGGAGTGGTTGGTATATCCAGTGTCACTCTATCTTTGATCTTTGATTTCCCAGCAGGTATAAGTGACCATTCAGTTGTTAACCTTTACCTAGTGGCCAGGTTTTCATTCTTTAATTTATACAATGATTTAATTTATTAATCAAAAATATATAACAATGATAAAATAGAATAAGATAAAACAAGAACTATCACCTCAGAGTTGGACAAGACATACATTAGTCAAACAAACAAGATTTACCAATGGAGATATTTTCCTGACAAGTTTATGAATTGTGCTTGTGCTGTACCATTCTTATGCCCCAGATTGCACAGAACAGCATGGCTTTGAACCCAGATATGCATTTTTTGCTAATATCCAACTGTCATCCATTCTCTATTGCCCCCCCACTACTTGGATGACAGTGTCTGCCTGTTATTTAGAATGCTAAGTACGCATTGTAGATATGCAGACAGTCTGCATAGCATCTTGGGGGAGGGGCGCTAACATTTATTTAGATAAAAGCATATTGAACTACTACCAAGAGATGGGTTGGGACATATGTACAGCTCCGGTTGAAAGAACTGGGTGTCGGATAAAGTGAGGAAGTGATGTTCCATGCAGCTAAGAAGCAAGAAGTTATTTAGGTGAAGGCAGCAAAAGGAAGTGAACAAAAATATCACCCCATGTAAGGCCTCACCCTCCTTAGGGAGCAGAAAGGGAATGGGTTTGGGTTTGCTGGGGAGTGATAGGGGGAAGAAGGGGGGGGGGAGGTAAGGGAACCGGGATTGATATGTAAAATAACCTTTTTTCAAATTTAAATTAAAAAAAAAATATCACCCCACAACAACAAGTTATGTTTATCAGGATCCCTGGGATGCTCAAGCACAACAGTCTACTGTGTGAACTCAAATTCTAGAAACCTCTGAACTTAAGGACAAGAATATGTGGTACATAATCTTTTTTTAAATAATGAGTAGAAAATTAACAAGATTTCCAGTAATATTTTATTAAGTATCTTAACAGGACTATAGTGGTTGGTTTTAATGTCAGCTTGTAACAAATCAGTATCACCTATGCAGGGATCATCAACTGAGAAAATTTTCGGATATTTTTAGTTGATGTGGGAAGAACTTCTTAGTGTGTGGGTGGCACTTTCTTGTAGCAGTCTTTTAGAAAAGGCCATAGCAGATGAAGGATT